TTCCTGCAGCGGCATAGTTTTATCTGTGTTGTTAAGTGCCATCGAGTCGATGTTGACCCATAGCAAACCTGTATAGGGTTTCCGAGGATCAGCTGATGAGCTTGAACTGTCAACCTTGCGTGCGGTTCAAACTGCCCTTACAGTCCAGCACATTAACCCTCAGTGCTATGCCAGGACTCCTTTTTACCTGTGGAATTAGTTTTATTGACAGTCTACATCTAGGCTTAGTTCCCTTTTCTGAAAAATGAAGGATTTGGAACAAATGATTTACATGGCTTCTTCCATGTATATATTAGATCAAATAAATGCATTTGCTGCCCTGTAATCCTGTAAGGACTGAACTGTTAGCCACAAGATTGGCAGTTCAAACACACCAGCTGCTCTTTGGAAACCCTATACAGGCTTGCTGTGAGTCAGAACCAACTGGAAGGCAATTAACAACAACTTAATCCAGTCAGTATCCTGAGAGAGGATTATGACAAATATCTGAGGAGAGACTGTTGATCTATGTAGAAAAGTAGCTCTAGGACCTTTGGCCACATTGCCTTGTTCGTAACACTACAATTTTTCATTGATTAAATTTTAATTTTTTAAAAAAATTTACAGTGTTATATTTTGTTCAACCAAACCAGTGGTTTTGAACTGGGGGCATTTTTGCTTCTCTGGGGGCAGGATTTTGATTGTCACAGTTGTGGCAGAGAGGTAGATGTTGCTGACATTTGTTGGATAGAGGGCAAGGATGCTGCTGAACATCCTACAATGCACAAGACAGTCCCCAACAAAGAATTACCTGGCTCAAATGCTCATAGTGCCACAATTGAAAAACCCTAAGCTAAACTATTAACCGCCCCCCCCATAAGATTTTAATACTCTCACAGCAGAGACTTGCTCTTGTTCCTTGACATTTCTTTTAGTATTTATGACCTTTTAAATTTAATTTAAAAGCATTCCATCTATGTCAATAAATGATTTCGTTTTTGATTATGTATTTAGTATTGTTTAAGGAGTCTTGCTGTAATGTTTAGGATGAGCACTGGACCACAAGGTCAGTCTGAACCTCAAAGTTGATGGTTCAAGATCACCCTCTGCTCCTTGGAAACCCTATACAAGGTTACTATGACTCAGAAACGATTTGACAGCACTTAACAACAACAACAACAATATTAAGAGACTATTTAAACCATAATATTAAATAGATAAGGAACTCTGGTAGCATAGTGGTTACGAATCGTGCTGCTAACCTCAAGGTTGGCAATTTGAAACTACCAGCCGTTCTGCGGGAGAAAAATGAGGCAGTCTGCTCCCGTAAAGATTTACAGCCTCGGAAACCCTTTGTTAGGATCACTATGAGTCGAAACTGACTCCATGGTACTTAACAACAATATTAAATAGATAAATATCTTTTCCAAACAATTCACTGCAGTGAATCATGAATTGGATTAGACTACATGTAACACAGTCCGTGCCACTTAAAAAAATGGTTTTTACATCAGTGAGGGGCAGTAACTTTCCAGTGTAGAAGTGAAGCGTTTGTTGCACCTTCATTATGGCTGGTCACCCACATCACAGCAGAGTGAGTGACAGAGCAGATGGGATTCAGAGGTTCTGTGGAAGGCATGCTCTGGGGACCAGCTTCCCATGGCAGTGTAGTGTGGAGGCAGCACAGAGGGGTATTCATGAGAGTACACTGAACCCCAGCACCTGAGTCATGTCCTACTCCATCTATGTAAATTGTTGGAAATAGTGTTATCTTGCTAAATCTTTCCAAATGGAGAGGGTAACAGGACCTATTTCATAGTGCTAATTGTGAGTATTAAGATAATGTGTTTGAAGTGCTTAGCCCAGTTCCTGGCACATATTGTTTGGCAAGTCATACTTTCAGCAGCACCCAGATCTGCATTGCCATCACTGCCTTACTTCTTCTGAGCTAGGTGAGCAAACCAGCACAGAGCACTTGTTGATGGGGCCCACTGTCCACTGATCCCCATGGTGCCAATAGATTTCTTTATCATGCAGAGAGAGTTACTGTTTCTGGATTTCTGCATATCAATTGCTTAAGTACCAAAGTAACAGAAACTATATAACAATTTAGGACATGTACTTTTCCATCCTTTTGTTTGTTTGCTTTAGTGTATACCACTGTTGATTATGGATATCCTGATACACCTAGGGATTTTTTTCCTTGTTGAATCTTTTTTAAAAGGAATTTCATTTACATAGGATTCCTCCCACACCCTCCTACTAAGTTTTTCTGATTTTACACTTTGTGTCAAGATACTCTGATAAAACTATTATGACAGAATAGGTACATTTATGAAGAAACAAGTTTATGGAGAACACAATAGGCCTTTTGTTTTTTGTTTAAACTCTTTATAATTTTACGGTGCTACTTGGTTTTGATTGCTATCGCTTTGGATTTTTATCTTATTGAATCAGATATGCTGGCTACTATGCTAGAACCAAAGATTAGGTACTTGAGAATTACTTTTGATGGAGAGTCTATAGTTGCATAGGTATACAGCTGTTCCCCACTTTGGTTGTGTATTAGAAGAGCTGTCAAGCTTGGATTTAGTACCACTCTATTGCGTATGTTTTAATCTGTCAATCATATGGTTTACTATGCAAGGAATGACAAATTGAAGAGGATGGTATTGCTGTCATTATCCAAAAGAGCATTTCATGATCTGTCTTGTAATATAATGTCTGTGATAGGATAATGTCCATACGCCTACAAGGAAGACCAGTTAATACCATTATTAATCAAATTTATGCATCAGTCACTAAAACCAGTGATGATGAACTTGAAGAATTCTACCAACTTCTTCAGTCTGAAATTGATCAAACATGCAATCAAGATATAATGATAATTACTGATGATTCGAATGGAAAGCTTGGAAACAAGGGAAGGATCAGTAGTTGGAAAATACGGCCTAGGTGGTAGAAATGATGCTGGAGGTTGCATGATAGAATTTTGCAAGATCGATGATTTATTCACTGCAAATATGTTTTTTAATCAACATAACATATGACTACACATTGACCTCGCCAGATGGAATACACAGAAATAAAATTGACTACATCTATGGGAAGAGATGGTTGAAAAGTTCCATATCTTCAGCCCAAACAAGGGCAGTTGCAGACTGTGGAACAGACAATTCTATGCAAATTTAGGCTGAGGCTGAAGAAGAGAAATCAACTCCAGGAGAACCAAAAGTTGACTTTTTTTATCCATAGATATTTTAATTTATAAAAAGAAAACAGTAATTAAAACACAAAGATGCCAAATTTTATCAAGTACTTTTTGAGCCACCTTAATAGTCAAAAGACACATTTTTTTTTCTGTAACGTATTAGTAAGGTTCACTATAATGATACATTTCTTAATACTGAATTTTTATGAAATGATTTCCTGTGTAGTGGTTTTCTTAATGTCTTACTAGTTTCTGTTTATATTTTATATGTGCATTTTTAGTCTTATCTGAGGTGTTTTTATAATGGGGATTTTTGTTTCATTAGTTTAATCTGTGATAGATTTTTGTTTAGGAACATATTGAAGTGTTATGAAAGAATTGGGGAAGATACCTACTTTCACTCCCACTGTGCCAACCTGTGGAAGGGTCTCAGGAAGAGTAAGCTAAGTGGAAATGCCTTTAGTAGCCTTTGCATATAAGTCATTTTCGTTTTACCTTCAGGAAGAAGGAGGAACCACTTGCAAAACACAAAAAACTCCCTGGCTTCAAAATTGTGTTTTATCTTTATCTCCAACCAATGATCTTATGGTTATAGCTCGAAAGCAAAAAGCTGTGTTTCTAGTGCGTAAGTACCTTTTTAGTTTCAATGGTTTATATTACAGTGCATATAATAGAAAATGGATTTGGAAAAAATGAAAACATTATTCCTATTTTATGTGGTGATGCCCTATATTTTATATATTGTACAGCACTTTTTATTTTGTTACTTTTTATTTTATGCTTTGATTCTTTTTGTTCCTTCTCTGTTTTTCTTTCCTGACTGCAGATAGCATAGCTATCACTCTGTGGCAATTCAAAGACAGTACTAGGCGTTGCACAGTTCTTGCAAGGGACAGTTAGAGCTAAAGAGTTCACTGACCCCTTCTTAGTACTAATGTGAGTAAGGTGATTTTCAACTATCTCTTAAAACTGTACATGTGTCTCTGTTTAGAGCATAAATTGTTCATTCATGATTTTGGTTGAGGATTGATGTTAAAGTTTGGGGATGAGTGTGATAACAAAAAACTTCCCTAATCAAAATATAAGATCATAAGTGAAATGACTGTAGAATAGTCTTCTAAAGTAAATTTACCTTCCAGTAGCACAGATCAATAGAAAATATTCTCTGCTATGCGAGGATAAAAGCAACCTTAAAATAGGTGGGATAGTGCATGGAAATTCAACTATCAGGACTCTGAGAAGATTGTATGATTTAATTGAGGAGCGAGGCTAAAGGATAGACTGTAGGTATAGAGGTTTCTGAAAATTCTACAAAAAAATTTTAAGCAATAGGTATTCAACTTATGAAAATGACTCATCAGTTAATGCAGATCTATTAAATTTGGCAAACAATATCCTAAAGGAAAAGATGAGATTTGTAAATTACTTCCTTAGTATATTATAATTAAAGTAATTGAAATAGCTTGATTTTTTTTTTTCCCCCAGCAAAATGGAAACATAATGATAAAGGAAAGGAAGAAATGCAATTTGCTGTTGGTTGGAGTGGTTCTTTAAATGTTGAAGAAGGGTAGGTACCAAGTAGCTTTTCCTTTCTTGGTGCATTGAATGTATATGTTAAGTTGATTGACTGTAACTAAATGTATTAAGATGTTTCATGATTTAATGTTCGGTACTCTGTATTCATCCAGGTTTTAAGGAATGTTAGATGGATAATTTATGGAATGCTGTCAAGTCAGCATCCAACTCAATGGTGACCTCATGTGTGTAGATAGAGTACAGCTATGTCATAGGTTTTCAAGGTTGTGATGTTTTGGAAGCAGTTTGCCATTCCTTTCTTTTGAGGTGTCTCTTAGTGGTCTTAAACTGATACTTTTTTTTGGTTAACAGCATTTCCCAGTGTCTCCCATAAATTGTAGAGCTTATATAAAAACATGGTTTGGTCAAAAATTTTAAAGTTTATTCATTATGTGATTACTTAAATAGTTATCTTTGAAGACAATTTAAAGAGCATGTTGAAGAGAATCTCATAAACCCTTTAAAAAAAATCTTTAGTCCTCTCCTTCTGTTTGCTATTACTAATTTTATTCATCCAAAAAGTCAAGGACAGACAGCTTCTCTGCTGTGCTAACATTTATATAGGGGACAATGCTGTATTTCTAAAACTTACTATAAATAGTTTAGAGATTCAAAATGGTCAACAAAGTATCTTCTGCACTTAACAACAACAACATCAAGTTATAGAGAAAGAGAAATAATTAATAATTCCATTGAATAGGCACACATTATTTTGTTTCTGGTTTTAGGGAATGTGTAACCAGTGCTCTGTGTATCCCACTGGCAAGCCAAAAGAGGTAAGGGAAAATAAGAATTATCTGTTGTCTTTGCTTTGATTTCTGAGCTATTAAGTTGTGTGGCATTTTGTTTGTGTCAGGAGTTCCACTGGACGACCTGATTGGACCTGCATTGTAGTGGGCTTTACTTCCGGTTATGTACGCTTCTACACTGAGGTGAGTTGAGCTTTCAGCAGAAGGTGACTACAGTACCCACTTATGCATTACCCATTTGTGTACACTTCATCATCTGCTACCTGTAAATTGTAATTGATGCTTTATAGGCCTGTAAGTTAGGAAGTAAAGGCAGTGAGAGTTGTGTTAGAAGATACAGAGAAGCTAAAGGGGGTATTCATAACCATGGAAAACTATAGGGGAAATGATATTCTCTGGTTATACCTGTGTATCAGTAAGAAAGCTAGCAGGACTCTTCTCTGTGCTTCCTCCTAGAATGGTGTGCTCTTGCTTGCACAACTTTTGAATGAGGACTCAGTGCTACAGCTCAAATGCAGGACCTATGAAATCCCACGGCATCCTGGTGTGACTGAGCAGGTAGTGTAAATGGTCATGTTCAGATTAACAGTGGATGTATGGCATCTCCTCTTTTGATTGGAAGGCGGGAAATTAAGGTTATCTTTGTCTATTAGCCATGCTGTCATACTCTGTCTAGAAGTCTAACCAATTAATTCTCAGAAAAGAATACCAGTCTTGCTTATTTACTTACTTATTTTTTACACAATAAAGTAAAATACTTTGTTGTTGTTGTTGTTGTTAGGTGTCATCGAGTCAGCACCGACTCTCAGTGACCTTATGCACAGCAGACTGAAACACTGCCCGATCCTGGGCCAACCTCACTACTGTTGCCACGCTTGAGTCTATCTGTGCTGCCACTTGGCCAATCCATCTCGTTGGGGGTCTTCCTCTTTTTCTCTGACCCTCCACCTTACCAAATATGATATCCTTCTCCAACAACTAGTCCCACCAGACAACATGTCCTAAGTATGAGAGACGACGTTTGTCCATCTTGGCCTCTAAGGAGCACTCTGGCTGCACCTGTTCTAAAACGGATCTATTGATTCTTTTGGCAGCCCATGGCACTTTCAGTATTCTCCTCTAACACCATAACTCAAATGCATCAATTCTTCTATGGTCTTCCTTATTCACTGTCCAGCTTTCACATGCATATGAGGTTATTGAAAATACCATGGGTTGGGTCAGGCGCACCTTAGTCCTCAAGCTGTCATCTTTGTTCTTCAACACTTTCAAAAGGTCTTGTGCAGCTGATTTGCCTAATGCAATATGTCATCTGATTTCTTGACTGCTGCGTCCGTGAGTGTTGATAGTTGATCCAAGAAGAATGAAGTCCTTGACACTTTCAATCTTTTCTCTGTTGATAAAGAATGTTATTTATTGGTCCAGTGGTAAGGATTTTTTTTTCTTTACATAGACTTTAAATATTCCCCCCCAAACATCCCCTCCCATTTTTAGAGCATAATATAGTTCTGATGTGGAGCTGTAGGGTAAGCATTGGACTGCTAATGGCAAGTTTGGCTCTGCAAAACCACCAGCCACTCCTCAGGAACCTTACACACGGTTGCTCTGAATTGGAACTGACTCAATGGCACTTCACAACAACAGCTGCTGTGAGGGAAGTAATCATATGATTATAGAGTAGCATGACAAGCATGTGGGATGCTTTTTAAATGAGAGGGTCAGGATCAGCCTCTGAGTAACTGATATTTGAACTGAGACCTTTGTGATTAAAAGAACTAGGTGCAGGGGAAGATCTGGGAGGAAAATGTTCAGGCCTTTGCAAAGGACTAGGGTGATGAAGCCCTTCAAGGATCAAGGGGAGAAAGAAGTAAAATGACATTAGGTCTCTGGGCATGATTAAAGAGTTCAGATTTTATTCTAAGTGCAGAATAAAGCCACTAGAGAGTTTTAGTCAGGAGAGTGATTTGATCTGCTATATCTGACAAAGATCATACTGGCTGGACTGAACATGCATTGTAGGGAGCAAAAGTAGAAGTAGAAAACAAAACTTCAAAAACGGTCAATAAGAGTTGGTTAAATAAATTTTGGTACATGATGAAATACTGACATAACATGAGATGTTCTAACAAATGGATGCGATGCTGGAACTGTTCACATCTACCAAGAAATTTGGAAGACAGCTGCCTGGCCATCCAACTGGAAGAGATCCATATTTGTGCCCATTCTAAAGAAAGTTGATCCAACAGAATATGGAAATTATTGAATAACATCATACTATCAGAAGCCAGTAAAAAGTTGCTAAAGATAATTCTAAAATGGTTATAGTAGTATATCAACAGGCAGCCAACAAACATATGAAGAGATGTTCACCATCTCTAGCCATCAGAGAGATGCAAATCAAAACAACAATGAGATAGCACCTCATAACAGCAAAGATTAAAAAATTAGAGGACTGTAAATGCTGGCTAGGATGTGGAGAGACTGGGATGCTCCTGCATTCCTGGTGGGATTGTAAAATGGCCCACCCTCTTTGCAAAGCAATATGGCATTTCTTCAGAAAGTTGGAAATAGAAATACCTTATGATCCAGCAGTTCCTCTACTTGGTATTTACCCACAAGAAATATAGCCATAACACGAGTAGATATATGCACACCAATGTTCATAGCAGCACTATTTACAATAACAAAAAGATGGAGACAGCCTAAGTGCCCATCAACTGAAGAATGGATAAACAAGCTGGTACATACACACAATAGAATATTATGCTACCTTGAAGAACAAGAAGGAAGCTGTAAGTTATAACATGGATGAACCTTGAGAACGTTATGTCAAGTGAAATTAGTCAGCTGCAAAAGGAAAAATACTGCATAGGACCACTACTGTAAAAGACTAAGAAAAAGAACGCATACTAAAGGGGGGCGGGTGGAGGATTCATTGCTGGTTACCAGATGTGGGGAGGGGGTTAGGGGACGGGAAGGTGGAGCACAGGGTAGGGAATAGACACAGGATACTTTGGGTGCTAGGGAGGGGGGCAATACACAAGCGGGGGAATGGAAGACCAAGGCGGATGGGAAAACAGGCATTTGCAAGGGCTAAGTGGGACAGAGGTAAATAATGATGTATGCACAACCTTGGAACAACAGGGCTCTGGGATACAGGGATTGAGACATGGTTGGAATGGGCAGAAAAAGGGGGTAAATAATGTTAAAATGCTTGTCTGTCTTTTGAATCTTGCCTTCCCTGGCATACCATTATATAATAGGCACTTGAGGGGGAGAAAAAGGAATAGCCAGAAATATCACCATATAATCTTGTAAGTCTGTCTTCTACCTATAACTGATTGGAATACCTAAAATGGGGCTACAGTGTGCCCAGTGAAGGAGGCTTCCTGTGGAGCCTCTGCGTTACATAAGACTATAGGTGGAATCCTGAACCTCACCCAAAATCTTCTGAGGGGGAAAATTTCCACTTCAGAGAACAAACAGACCAGCTTGGAATGACTGGAAGAACAGAAGATACTTCTTGAAAGAAAGACCGACAGGAAAAATAAAAAACAATAACGGCAGTCTGACTGATTACTATAAGAACAAGCAAGTTGCTTGTCCAGGAGACATCAAGGCAAGTGGTCAGGTTCCCTCAGGACAAGCCCCTGCCAAGACTAAGACTCAGTGGGCATACAGGAGCAGACACGTGCTCTGATTGGTGACCACGCTCATCACCGATAAGGGGAATTGAGGGAAAAACAGCAATGAAGCTACAAGTTAAACCCTACAACATTCAGTAGACTTCTATGAACCCGGATGGAGACCTGGTTGGCCAGCAGTTTGGCAAGACCTGGAGACTCTTGGGCCCAGACTCAGTGACATAGCCACAGAGGACTAGAGTGGAGAGTGAAGCATCCAGCTGATAAGAAGAGAGGGCATATGCACAAGAACACCCACACTTGCAGATAATACCCACTTGACCTGGCTTCAATGACTGGATTATCAGAGATCAACCAGAAGAAGAAAGAAGAGGAAAAAAAGAGGTAATCTGACACAATTTGATGAACTTGACATACACCTGTGGATGCAGTAACTCAAAAGAGGGAACAAATCTTTATAGCGAAGATCACTACCACCCTCTCCATGCACAGAGTAAACAGGGATGGGCAACTTGGACATAGGCTATGCAAAATGAGGGGGCTATAAAGGCAAGAAGTGACTCACTTACAAGGTTTCAAGAGGGAGCCTAGTTCCAGAGGGTGTGGAGGAAGGTAGAATCTCCAATGAGTAGTATCCAGTCTGTCTGGGTGGGGCTGATGAAAGGAGCTGGGTATAGGTCCCTTGTACAATGGTGAATAATTTTTACCAGGATTGACTGTGAGGGTTGGAAATGTAAAGGTGGACGGTTTGTAGTAAAAGGAGGAGAGTGATCGACTATGCAGTCCAGGAGCTGAGGTCCCTGGAACCACCAAGGGAGGAGAGCGGAATGCGAAACCTTCCCCAGAGAAGCAGTGACACCAGAGATGCAGGCAGAGATGATGACGTGGAGAGATGGCGTGATTGGCGACTTTAGAACCAGAGAGGGAGAGAGGGACTGTGTGCGGATGATGGGGGATCAGGTTTGCAGGGTGTACCCTTTGGTTGATTGATGATGCATGGAAAGGATTGTAACCATGGCAACGAAACAATATAAGATAGGATGAATGTAAAGCTAATGTTCTCTCACGTAAACTATCACATAATTCACAATAAAACATTAAAAAAAAAAAAAAGTATATCAACAGGAAATTGCCAGTAATTGAAGCAAGAATCAGAAGAGGATTTGGAATGAGCGGTATCGTTCATTGCTGATATCACATGGATCTTGACTTAAAACAGAGAATACCAGAAAGAAGTTTACCTGTGTTTCACAGAGTACTCTAAGACATTCGACTGTGTGGATCTTTTCAAACTATTGATAACATTGCGGAGAATGAAAATTCCAGAAGACTTACTTGTGCTCATGTGGAACCTGTATCTAGAACAAGAAGCAATCATTTGAGCAGAGCAGGGGATGCTGAATGGTTTAAAATCAGGAAAGGTATGCCTTAGGGTTGTTACCTTTCAACATATTTATTCAATCTGTATGCTGAGCAGATAATCTGAGGGTATGAAGAACACAACATCAGGAAAAAATATTGAAGTGTCTAGATTTTTCTTTTACTTGGATCTGCAGTCGACATCCCTGGAAGCTAGAGTTAAGAAACCAAATGAGGTGTATTGGGCAACTCTGCAAGAGATACAATGATGTCACTTTGAGAACTAAGTAGCACCTGGCCCAGGCCATGGTATTTTCAGTAACTTCATATGAATATGAAAGCTGGACAGTAAATAAAAAAAATTGAAAAACATTAATGCCTTTGAATATACCATGGACTACCAGTATGATTGTGGTGGTTCCATATGATAAGCACTGGACTGTGAACCACAAGGTCTGCAGTTCAAGCCTGCTAGCTGCTCTGTGGAAGAAAGATCGGGCTTTCTGCTCCTGCATAAAATTGCTATGAGTTGGAACCAACTTGATGGCACTTTGCAACAATAACCAGTAGAACAAACAGATCTGTCTAGGAAAAAGTACAGCCAAATCTCCTTAGAGTCAAGGATAGTGTGATTTTGTTTCCTAGATTTTGGACAAGTTGACCAGTCCTTGGGTAATGTAGAAGGTCAGCGAAAATAAGGAATTCTCTCAGTGAGATGGATTGACCCAGTAGCTGCAACAGTGGGCACAAACATAGCAACAATTGTGAGTATGGTATGGTGCTATGGGTTAGTGCACTGGACTGCAAGGTTAGTTTGTACTGCAAGGTCGGCAATTCAAGCTCACCAAGCCACTCCTCAGAAACGCTATATAGGTTCGCTATAAATCAGAACCAACTCCACAGCTCTTAACAACAACAGGACGGGGCAGTGTTTCACTTGTATGTAGGATTGCTATGAGTTGAAACTGACTAGATGAAACCTACCAACAGCAACCATAATAAAAATGATTTTTTTATTTATTGAAATAAAAAAAATTGAGTAATCAAAATACTGTATATTGATTTATTATTGAGAAATCAAAAATATTACAGAATACTGTGTTTTTCTTGGGAAAATGTATGAATATGTGAGGTTATATATTGACTCATGTCTGGAATTTCAAGTGAGTTTTTCTTCTTTCTACTTTTGCATATTATTTGTATCTCCACAATGAGTATATTTCATTTTTATGAAATTTGTGAATTTTTTTTTTTTCTCTAACCATCTGTCCTGAAAGTAGTATTCATCATAGACAGAAGCTCATATTTGAAAAGAATTCTAAATCCTTGGCTGAAAATTCTGAAATTAATTATCCACTCTTTTACTGTTCTTTATCCTGTTTTCTGTTTGTCTTTTATTGAGTAGTTGACAAGTTTAGGGCTAGATTTTCTATTTTATTTATTTATTTTTTACATTATTTGTGACATTCAGCCATAATAATACTACTAATAAAATAGATCTTCTGGTTTGGCAGTTACGATAATTATTATTTTTTTCTCTATTATTTCTTAAATAGAATGAAGAATTGAGTATTTTATATCCAGCTGCCATTGTGACTATTGATGGATTTAGCCTTTTTCAGTCTCTTCGTGCCTGTCGAAATCAGGTAGCAAAAGGTAAATTTTTTGGCAAGAAATATGTAACTTTTGATAATGTTTAATTTATTTACTTTAGCCTACTTGCATAATAAATAAACTGCCTTCAAAATAAAAGGTTTTCTAAACTAGATTTAAGGGAGGAGGAACCCTACTGCTGTAGATATGGGATTACCGTGTTGGGTAATTGATTAGTAAGGTAATGGTGAAGACTAAAACTTCAACACTCTTTACTTGTTGCCAAAGGAAAATGTGGCCAGCACAGAAACTACAGGCTTTACTGTTAACGCAACAATATGGAGAGAATTCCAGCAGTAAGGAATTAAGTTGTCTTTTAGCTGATGACCAATATTCCTTAGTAGATTGGCATACTAAAAGCTTATGCCTACCTTGCTTCTCTTCTCACTGAGGATGTAGGGGGAGTTTTCCCATGGTAGACAGGACACAACAGGAAGTCACCATCAACTGTTGATTGCTATCTTGGAACACTTCTGAATGGAGAGAAATTAGAGGCACAGACATTATGTTGATGAAGTAGGCAACTACATTACTTCCAGATTTGAGGATGAGACATGCACAAATACTCAGGAGTTCTTAAATCTGTAATCCACAGTTCTCATTCTGGTGCAGTGTGTGCGAGAAGATACTGTATTTTACCAAATCCAAGTTGCCATTGATTGTTATGTACCAATAAGAAGCAAAAATGGCTGCCAGTAAAAGACACACCATCCATTTAATATCTCAATTATAGAGACATGAAAATTTAAAGAAAAGGGCTTAAAATCAGTGAAAATAAGTACTAGCACTGACTTCTCCTTTTCTTTTGGTTAGGATGCTGTTGTTGTTAAGTGCTGTAGACTCACTTCCGACTCATAGTGACTCTGTATAGGGTTTCCAAGGAGCAGATGGTGAGTTTTGAACCTCTGACCTTAAGGTTAACAGTGCAATACTATCCACTTGTTGTTGTTAAGTGCTATTGAGTTGGTTCAGACTCAGCGAGCCTGTATATAGTCTCCAAGGAACGAGTGGTGGGTTTGAATCATTGACCTTTTGGTTGATGTGATGGTCCAGTACTTTTCCTAAAGCACCACACCAGGTCTCCATATCCTGTTGCTGCTGTCAAGTGTCAGAGTCAGTTTCGACTCATAGCTACCCTGTATAGCATTCCTCAGGAGTGCCTGGTGAGTTTGAACCACCAGTCTTGTGATTCAAACCAACCTTGCGGTCCAGTGTTGTATCCCACAGTGCCACACCAGAACTGCACCACATCACATCAAACCACACCCACTCCCATCTAGTGAATTCTGACTCATAGCTACCCTCCAGAGTAGAACTGTCCCAGAGGGTTTCCAAGTTTATAAACCGCTATAGGAGCAGACAGCCTGATCTTTTTTCCAGAGAGCAATTGTGGGTTTGAATTTCTAACTTTTTGGTTGAGAAGCCTGATGCTTAACCCACTGTACCACCCGGACTCCTTTTAGAGGGCCCTGTTGTCAAATGGATTCAAAGTCATTGCGATCCTGTTTAGGGTTTCTGAGAAGCAACTGGTGAGTTTGAACTGCCAACCTTGCAGACCAGTGCTTCTCCCCACAGCGCCACACCAGGCCTCCTTTGTTGTTGTTAAGTGTCTTTGAGTTGGTTCCTTTAGGGGCCCTTAAAAAAAAAAAACCAACATTGAACTCTTAATGGATGAGACAATTCTCTGAAAGCATAAATTAATTAGCATCTGTTTGCTGATTCCTAAAAATTCCTTATGTATCTAAAACCTAAACAAGAAACAAAACTAGGCTATTTTTTAGGGGAAAATGCAACATCTTATATTGTGATAAATAGAAAATTTTTCACTGTACTTTTTAAGCGGTTGATCTGATTGTACAATTCTGAAGATAACGCTTCTCCGTTAGATCAGAATCTGTTTAGATTTTTTCATATCTCTTTTTACTAATGTATAAGTTCCAAGAGACTAGTGATTGTCTGTAGATAAAAATTCTAATAAAATAAGCTAGAAATAGATAATTATTATAATTAATACTGTCAGCCAGCCATTTTATTTTTTGTCACCTTTGATTTCTGTGTATTTTCTTATGTATAAGATTGTTATATATAAGCCATTTTGTCTCCCAGGAAGTAAGAAATTGAGCCACTTTTTATGGGGCTCTGATTACATAGTCACAAGTTGTTGTAAAACAATATATAGGAAAATGGTCTTTTCTTGACCTTACTATAAAATCTGCAGTGTTTTCAGGATCATATTTTTCCTCTATTAAAGTATTTTCTTCACTTTCCAGAATAAACAGCTAAGTTTCAGCTGTATTATAATCTGTAGCCTAGGGATGTATACTGATCAGTGGGACCTTCTATGTAGAACCTGTCACCTTAAGCGCGACTCTAATTGAGTCTCTTCCTTTCAGTAGTAGGTGGAAGCAGTAGTGTTAACATGATCAGCCTTTTATTTTTCCTGGCAGTGCTGTTGCCCTAACGAATCTTTCTGTCAGGTCTGGCTTTGAATACCTAGATTAGAGCTCCTGCCATGTGTGGGCTTCTGCCAGTACATCAGGCTGTGAATAAGGCACTCACTGCAGTTCCAGGATTTCCCTCACAGCCTTTCCCAAGGAGACACTGCTTAGGTGGCACCACTTATATTTTGGGTTTTTAGAAATCTAGAATTTTTTATGTGTTTCCCTCTGATTACTTAGATATTTTAAACTCTGTTTTGTGACTGCTTAGTTAGTGTAATTTTATTGTTTCTATTTTATGTGCATTGTCTTGAGGTGAGTGAAATCTCACTTTAGGACTTGTATTAATTACTTTGTCTCATTATGATTAGTTGATTGTTTTAAAAATAATTAAATGACTACATTTTTAATGATTTGATATGAAATGTCATTTTATCTATTATTGTTAATTTTGATTGTCTAATTTTTATCTTTGACAGCTGCAGCATCTGGCAATGAGAACATACAACCACCGCCATTAGCTTATAAGAAGTGGGGTCTACAAGATATTGGCACTATTATTGATCATGCTAGTGTTGGTAAGCATTACTAGTTCAGATTCTTTTGAAGTCTCTTTAATACTTTGTGATTAACGTGTCTCATTTGTTAAAAATACACATTTATTCTTACATGAAAAGGATACGCATGGCCTTTAATTAGACATTCAGAAGTTATTGAGATCAACACAGTTTATGTCTTTAGAAAATGACAGTTTTAATGAAGCTTTGATTATGGCCCTCAGCATTAATGCTGTTGTTGTTGATGTTAAGTGCTGTTCTGACTCATAGCCACCCTAGGTAAGTTTTCAAATCATAGAAACCCAGTATAAGGTTTCTGAGCAGCAGCTGGTATGGTTTGACCCTGTGGTTCATAGTGGTCCAGTGCTTGTCCTACAACATCACACCAGAAGATGTAAGTCATTCACTCTTTGCATTTTTTTGCAGATAGGTTTAATCTATATAATTACCATTTAGATCACTCTATTAAAAATGTAACTTTTAGACCAGCAGAAGATAAAATAAAAACCAGTTTCTTCTGACAACCAGTATTGGATGGCCATCACTTGTCTGTCTGTGAGGCTGTGTGTCCTATGATGATAAGCGAGTTTTAGCAGAGCTTCCAAACTAAGTCAGACTAGGAAAAAAAGGTCAGCCTGTGAAAAACCATTGGATCATGATGGTCCCGGTGGTCTGATCCCCTTGTACATGGGGACAACAGTATGCTATGCAAATGAGCTTAGATCTTTCTCCTAGCCACGCTGAGAGCCACTAAAGAATGTGGAGCAAGAGAATGCTATTATTAGATGTTCCTTCTAGAAAAATCACTTTGGTGGCAGCTTAGAGGCTAGAATAGAGTGGACAAGAGTAGCCACTGGGTCCAGTATAATAATCTTGGTAAGAAATTATGGGTTTACGAAATAAAACAGTGTAAATAGATGTGTAGAACAAGGAAATACTGTTGGGAAGGGAGGCTTTTAAAATGTATATATCTGTTTGTCAATGTAGTATGTGCTTGTAACCAATTCAAATTTTACATAAATATATGAAAAACAAAGAAAAACTTACCGTAGACCCAACTACACAGAGATGCTTACCATTTACACTTTGGTAAGCATCCTTGCAGATTTTCTGGTGTGTGTGTGTGACGGGGGAGGGTGATGTAAGTAATATTCGCATACTTACGGAGAGTTAATGTGTTCATAAACAGAATTATTTTGTACCAGCAACATTAGGTTGTTTAATGCTACAGAGTCCGTTCTGATTTATCGAGACCTTATATAGGGTTTCAGAGACTGTAAAGCTCTCCAGGAGCAGAAAACTTCATCTTTCTTCCATAGAGTGGTTGGTGAACTCAAACCACCAACCTCGTGGTTCGCAATCCAGTGCTTGTCCTATAGAGCCACTGTGCTTCTCAACAACAGAGCATTTTTCTAATTAAAGAGGTTTGAAGAGGCTTTCTTTCACCACAGTTTTACTAAATATACTTTGTATCTGTCAGAGGCCTAATGGAAAACAGATGGTACACCTGAAATTGAGTAATTGAAAGAAGGTGTATTCTTAGAGAAAGTATTTTAAAGGTGATGTGTAGGAAACCATAAGGAATGGTGCTGTTTCCCTGGGCTTCTCAGAAGCCAGCTGTTTTCCACTCCTAGGCCTAAAGAAAGCCGTCTCAGAACTTGGAGATGAGTAGAATCAGTGCCTTGAGAACAACAGTGACATTTGTTCAACAGTCGCAACCAATTTTTAGGAAAGGAGCCTGGGAAATAGCATGGCTTGACTCTTTTATCCTTTTGATGTGCTTGCTGTTTTCTGAATTCATTGGCATGGGAGCCATTTGGCATCTTCAATACAAATTGGCCCATGGGAGAGAGCAGGGAGAAAAGGAAAAAGTGTTACTGTAGAAGAAAAACAAACAGAAGATACCTGACACATAGATCATTTTTTTTCAGTGACTACCTGGTCTTTGTATAGAATACTCTCTAGTTAATAAGCTCCGTACTGGTAGACATTTGGTTTGTATAAAGAAGTTGCAGTAATCCAAAGTGTTGAGTTCAGTTCAGGGCAGCATCCCTGTTCTGTTAATTAAACTTTGGGACATTGAAACTGGTTTGGGAAAATGATTGAATAGAAAATATTATTCTATCCATTTCTCTCCCAGCCTACAAAAAAAATTTTTTTAAGGTGGAATAATCTTTATTGTACATACACATTTTTTGTAAAGGTTGATTAATTAATTCAACCAGTCAGCGACTGTTTGGCGTCAGGCACTGATTACTAACATTAGTGTTGGGAATTCAGGACAGACAGAATCTCTGCCCTGCTGAAGCAGAGTAATATTTTGGTGATGAGGTGACAAACAATAAACAATGAAACTGAATAAATCATTGTGTCAGAATATTAGTAAGCATCATAAAGAAAATAAGCAGAGGGTTGTGGAACAGAGTAAAGGAAGAAGTTACTTTAGATAGACTGAGGAACAGCCTTTCCTGGGAAGTGACATTCAGGCAGACATGCGATTGTGAAGTAACCAGCTATCTGAAGAACATTCTAGACAGAGGAAACGGGAACCTCAAAGACCTCGAAGTGTTCAGTAACCAGAAAGGAGGCCAGTGTGACTTGATAATAAAGAGTGAGGGGAAGATGGGTAAAGTAAGGTTGGCAGTGTAGACAAGAGTCAGATCTCATTACTGGTAAGGAGTTCAGATTTGATTCTCTTTCAGCAGCAATCACTGACGTGTTCTAGGTGGTGATGTTAGGTGCCATAGAGGGTTCTGACTTACGGCAACTCAGTTTGACAAAGTAGAACTGCTCATAGGGTTTTCTAGGCTGCAGTCTTTACAGAGAAGGGCCCTGGTGATATCATTGGGTAAGCACTTTCTCTGTTAGCCAGAAGGTTGGCAGCCCCTGGGAGAATGATGTGGTGATCTACTCCCATAAAGATTATAGCCAGAAAACCCTAAGGAGCAGTTCTCTTCTGTTACATGGGATCCCACTGAGTCAAAAATCTCCTCTGCCACCAGCACAGCAATAATCATTGTTGATTGCTAGGTCCTCCTGAAGAGCAGCTGGGGATGGAGGGGGAGGGTTCAAACCACCAGCTTTTTGGTTAGCAGCCAACTGCTTAACTTTCATGCCACCCGGACTCCATGTGTTGTAAGTAGGGACTTACATTTTTTAAGTAATCCTTCTACTGAAAAAGGTGAAAAGCAAAGATTGTTGTTGTCAGGTGCCATTGAGTCGGAACCGACTCATAGCGACCCCATGCAAAGCAGAACGAAACAATGTCCGATCCTGGGCCAACCTCACTACCGCTGCCACACTTGAGTCCATCAATGATGCCACCTGGCCAATCCATCTCGCTAGGGGTCTTCCTCTTTTTTTCTGATCCTCCACCTTACCAAACATGATATGCTTCTCCAGCGACTGGTCCCTCCTGACAATATGTCCGAAGTATGAGAGATGAAGTCTGGCCATCCTGACCTACAAGGAGCCCTCTGGCTGTACTTCTTCCAACACAGATCTGTTTGTTCTTTTGGCAGCTCGTGGTACTTTCATGGTACTCCAACACCATAACTCAAAAGCATCAGTTCTTCTATGATCTTCCTTATTCACTGTCCAGCTTTCGCATACATATGAGGTTATTGAAAATATCATGGCTTGAGACAGGCGTACCTTAGTCCTCAAGCTCACTTCTTTGCTCTTCAACACTTAAAAAAGGTTTTGTGCATCAGATTTGCTTAGCGCAATATGTTGTTTGAGTTCTTGGCTGCTGCTTCCATGAGTGTTGGTGGTTAATCCAAGAAAATAAAGTCTTTGACAACTTCAGTCTTTTTTCCATGGATAAAAATGTGGTTTATTGGTCCAGTGGTGAGGATTTTTGTTTTTTTACATTGAGATGTAATCCATACCGAAGGGTATGGTCTTTGATCTTCATCAGTAAATATTTTAAGTCCTCTTCACTTGTTAGACAAGTTAAATTCAAGGTGGAGAGGCCAGCTAAGAAGGTTGTGGAAATTGTTTTTTGTTTTGCATTCCAAAAGGGTAATCTTGGTAGATTTTCTCAAACAACACAGGACAGTCACAGGTGCTTATTAGGAAGAAGTTTTCAGGAAATTGAAGACTGCATTAGTGAGGAAACTGCCAAGAAAGTTACACAGCAGAATGTTTTTCCATCAGGACATTGCACCGTCTCAGTCTTCAAGGGTAGCAAGAGCTGTCCTACACGAATTCCATTGGAAAGCCATACCCTATCCATTCTATAGCCCTTGTCTTGCCCCCTCAGACTTGATTTTGTTCTCCAAACTCAGCATTTAAAAGAAATACAATTTGATTCCTTGAAGCTGTCAAAACTGCCGTGGTATAAATCAAACAGTGCAGAATTCTTCAGGAAAGGGCTAGGGAAATGTAAACAAGGCCTTCATTTTTGTTGAATAAAGATTTCTGTGACTTGTGATACTTTTTGATTTACCCTCATATATCTGCTGTCCAGACTGCTTTCTTAAGTTCTGTATCATTTTCCCAATTCTCTACTGAACATTTTAACCTAAATATCTAACATTTACATATCTGGAATCAAATTCTTGATTTCCTCCCGCCAAACTTGTTCCTCCTTGTCAAATAGATGAATGGATTGGAAGTCTAGATGAAGGTGTGGAATCACCATGGGGAATTAATGGTCAAAAAGTGGTGGGTTTTGAAATCAAGGTTTCAAAGAAGGTATAGTTGGTGATCACAGAATCTAATGTATAGCGTCGGGAGTGGATGACAAAGTAGGAAGAAAAAACTGAAATACAGTATAATTAATTGAATCTCATGGTATTCCATTAAAATTTTTTTACATACTGATTTGCCAAATTACTCTCTAGATTATTGATGTTTTGTTGTTAAGTGCCATAGAGTCAGTTCCAACTCATAGAGACCCTGTATAGGGTTTCCGAAAATCAGCTGGTGAATTTGAATCTGACCTTGTGGCTCAAACCAATCTTGCAGTCCAGTGCATTAACCCACAGGGCCACACCAAGACTCCCTCCTCTGGATAACATGTAGCAATTTATACTCACACCTGTGGTGTGTGGGAGTATGAAGAGAAGTTAACGTAACATTTAAATTTCTGTCATACACAATTTACCCACTCTGTCATTTATTCTGACAGAGTCAGGCAAAATGTATGGCAATTTTCTTATCTGGTACAGACATTTGTATACAGTCACGCTCAGTTTATTGTTACACTTTCTTTGCACATACTGCGTTTTTTTTTTTTTTTTTTACAAGTGGGAGGTTTGTGGCAACCTTGCATTGATTAAGTCTATTGGCCCCATTTTATCAACAGTATGTGTTCACTTTGTGTCTCTGTGTTACAGTTTGGTAATTCTCACAATATTTCATACTTGTTCAGAATGCTGTTGTGCACTTAATAAACTACTGCTGCTGCCACTGTGTGCCATGGAGTCAGTTCTATGAGGCTGTAAATCTTCATGGGAGCAGAACGCTTCATCTTTCTCTCACGGTGGTAGCTTTGAACTGCTGACCTTGAGGTTATAGTGTAAATGCAACTTTTACATGCACTGGGAAACCACAAACATTGTTGTGGCTTGCTTTATTGTGATAGTCACTTTATTGCAGTGGTCTGGAATGGAATCTGCAATGTGTCCAAAGTGTGCCTGTATTGAATCAGGAAAACTCATCCCTGAATACAACTGGGATTCTGAAAGTTCATGGAAAGCTTGAATGAGAAGATAATGGATTTTTTTTTTTTCATGAACTTTTTCAAGTCCCCTTGTATGAGACAGATGTCCAGCTTTTTTCAAGATTTATTTGATCATTAAAATCGATTCATTTAATGTCTTGCTTATTAATTAATTCCTTAAAAGAATTTTCTTTCCAAGGACTCCTATCAGTGAATTTTTGGTATAATGTTTTTTTCCATTTAATCAATTTTGGATATCTCTACATACTATTGTTGAATTGATTCTGAGTCACAGTGTGTACAAAGTAAAACTGGTTCATAGGGTTTTCAAGGCTGTGACCTTTTGGGAACAGATGGCTTAGCTTGTCTTTCGAAGTACCTCTGGGTAGGTAAAAACCACCAACCTTTTGGCTAGTAGTTGAGTACTTAACCATTTGTGCCACCCAGGGACTCCCTAGGCAGGAGCAGTGCATTTTTGACAGTTTGGGGACAAAGAAGAGTGAATACCTATATGAGAAAATTAGAGTCCCTCTTGTTCTACCCTATCATATATCTGAGTTCAGACCTCCTCAATGGGATGTCTTCATGGACCATATGATTACCCAAGTTTGGACACAATTCCAAAGTCCGTAAGTGTAGGACTCTTGACTTCTTGGATCTCTGAACTCAGATCCCCTCATCGTTGTACTCTCTTCCATCCAAGTGAATTCTCTGCTTTTGCTCTTACAGCCTTTGGGAAATAAAAAGTATCAGGAGCTCTGATAGCTTAACAGATTACGAAGTTAGGCTGTTAACTACAAGGTCAACAGTTTGAATCTACCAGCTGCTCCAAGGGAGACAGATGAGGCTTTCTGGTCCCATAAAGATTTACAGCCTTGGGAAACCCTATGCAGGGCTGCTATTAGAACTGACTCCAGGATTCATAACCACCACCATTATAAAAGATTGGGGAATTTCTGGGCTACAAAGTAGATGTATGAAAATGCTTTCACTGTATTGAAAAAGTATGGGTCCACAGGTGTGCTCCCACTTTTTTGCTGGAAGTATAAATTGGCACCACTTCTGTGGAAAGCAGTGTGTTTTTGTTCCATGCTGGTGAGTTGATTTTAAACTCATAGTGACCCCATGTGACAGAGTAGAACCGCCCAATGTAGTTTTTTCTAGGCTATGATCTTTACAAGGAAGTTCTTGGTGGTGCTGTTGGATATGTATTGGGCTGCTAATTTCAAGGTTGTTAGTTCAGACCCACCATTCATTCCTTGAAAACCCTATATAGGGTCACTGTGAGTTGGAACCCAGTCGATGGCACTTACCAACAGTCTTTACAAGAACAGATCACTAGACCTGGGCAGAGCCACTGGGCAGATTGGAACTGTTAGCCTTTCAGTTAGCAGTCAGGTAATTAACCAAGCCAATGAAGCCCCTGAAAGCAGTGTCACAGGATGTAGTTTGTTTTTGTTTTTTTTTAAAAAAAAAAAAACACAGATCCTCTTTGACCCTGCACTTCTGTTGTTAAGACTTTACCTTACAATGTGTAAGGTCAAGAACTCACATTGTCATATTAAAGTGGCAAAAGATAGGGAACAACCTAAATGCCATTAGTGTTATTGTTGTTAGGTGCCATCGAGTCGGTACCGATTCGTAGCTACCGTGTGCACAACAGAATGAAACTGACCAGTCCTGGGCCAACCTCACAGTTATTGCCACACTTGAGCCCATTGATGCTGTCACTTTGCCAATCTGTCTTGCTGGGAGTCTTCCTCTTTTTCTCTGACCCTCCACCTTACCAAACATGATATCCTTCTCCAGTGACTGGTCCCACCTGACAATATGTCCAAAGTATGAGAGACAAAGTTTGGCCATCCTGGCTTCCAAGGAGTATTCTGGCTATACTCCTTCCAACACATATCTGCCCATTAATAGATCAGATCAATTATATGTCCATACAGTGGAATACTATGAGTGATCGAGAACAATGGATGCTAGAAAGGATTGAGCTCCTTAATACTTTATTAAATAAAAAAAGCAAGGTACACATTAGTCCTGATGTGGCACTGTGGGGTTAATGCACCAGACTGCAAAGCCATTTGAACTGCAAGGTTGGCAGTTCAAGCTTACCAGCTGCTCTTTAGAAACCCTATACAGGGTTGCTATGGGTCAGAACCGACTCAACGGCACTTAACAACAATAACACATTAGTGTATGTTGTGTGCTATCATTTGTGTCCATTTAATGTCTCTGGATAGGCAACATGAAAACCTGTACGTGTTGCCTCTAGAAAGTGAACTATACCTGGGACATTGATGGACCTCTTGAATTCTATCCCTGTTAAAAAAATCTGTTAACACTTAAAATATCCTTATGTTATTTATCTGTTATAATGTAGATTATAGATGTCATATTTAGTATTTATGGACTTTGTGTAACTTTTTTAAAGTTCTTTTGTCTGTTAGTAAAACTAAGCAGTTAGCATCTGAGAATAGAGCTTAGTATTTAATGACCTTTAAGATGACAATAATATTTCATTGCATACAAATCTTGTTTTTGGTTTTTGGTTTTAATTTAATCATTTTTTTTATCATTAGGTATTATGACTCTGTCCCCTTTTGATCAAATGAAGACTGCCTCCAATATAGGTGGATTTAATGCAGCAATAAAAAACAGCCCACCTGCCATGTCCCAGTATATCACTGTAGGGTCCAATCCATATACAGGCTTCTTCTACGCCTTAGAGGTATGCATTTAATAACTGATAGTGAGTGATGACACACTTGGTTTTTTAGCTGATCTAATATTGGATATGGTCATTTAGTCTTAAAAACTTTAAACACTTTGTATTTCTAAGTTTCAGTGAAAGCTAAAATTAACCTCAACGTACTTTCTTCCAAGTACAAAACAAATTCTGTGCAGAAGCTCTGAATTCTTTGACAGCTGAGTGGTTTTCACATATTGTTGTTCTGGTCAGATGCCTCAAGGTTGTTATGATGTTAGCCTACCAGGGATGTGAATAAATAAGGAATTGTGAAGACAGAACAGGTTGCCAGCTATGGGTGATGGAAGTAGTGAAAGTTGCTTTCTAGGTAGGAAAATGTTACGTGTTAGGTTGTTGTTAAGGTTAAGTGCTGTCAAGTCGGTTCCAACCCATAGTGACCCTGAACAGGGTTTCCGAGGCTGTAAATCTTTATGGGAGCAGAAAGCCTCATCTTTCTCCCATGGAGCAGCTGGTAGTTTCGAACTGCTAACTTTGTGATTTGCAGCCTGGTTTGTAACCACTATGCTACGAGCGCTTATATCTTGTTTAGTAAGCAGCCCTCTCAGAAGTTGCCCAAGTTAAAAAAATGTTTTAAAGAGCCGTTTGTGTGTAGATGGGAAATCCATATCCCAATTAGAAGAAAATTATTTAGTATCCTACTTTAAAACTTTTTAAAAGCTAAATTAGAATTTAGGGACGGACCAAAGGCAAAAATAGGCTACCAGTGATTTTATTTTGAGACTTTTTATATTGTTGCCTCGTAAAAACATGGTGGTTAGGAGTTGGGCTGCAGTGGTTAGGAGTTGGGCTGTCGTTCTGCAGGAGAAAGATGAGGTTTTCTACTCCCGTAAAGATTTACAGCCTCGGAAACCCTATGCAGGATCGGTCACTATGAGTTGGAACTGACTCAATGGCACTTAGCAACAACAAAATCTTCTGAAAGAAGATTAGTCTAGGGTTTACAACTTTCCAGAACTTTCTTAGTCAGCCTTACTTAGAAAGTATATTTAGTTTCTCTGTTAGCTACTGAGTTTTCCTTTTCACATGTCTTAATTCTATTTCCCAGGGAAGCACACAACCATTACTATCTCATGTTGCATTGGCAGTTGCAAGTAAACTCACCTCTGCCTTATTTAATGCTGCCAGGTAATTATGTACAAAAATTATCTAATTTGTATGTAGTTTGGTTTTGACTTGCATTTTGGTAGTTGCATTTATAAGCTCGAGTTTTACTCTAAATTTCTTTCTTTTAAGTGGTTGGCTTGGTTGGAAAAGTAAGCATGAAGAGGAAGCTGTCCAGAAGCAAAAACCAAAGGTTGAACCAGCTACCCCACTAGCTGTAAGGCAAGTTTGTCATATTCTCCTTTAATTTTAGTCCCTTTAGAAGTGTGCTGTTAAATTTAGGGTTTTTCAGTATACTTTGTTGATTTATTGGTTGATCTTTGAAGCTTCTAGAAATCAATGTGGGATTTATTTCTATTAGAAGGTAAGCTCCATGAGGACACAGTGGCTCTTGTATTGTTTGCTTACTGCAAACTATTATCGCTTAGCAGGTGCTCAGAATGTATTTAAGTGTGCTTAAATAAATAAATAACCTATGTTGCAAAGGAAAATGAATTTAGTAATACTTGTTGAATTTTTTTCTCTAAATTAAAGTTTAGATAGCTTGTCCCTAAGATTCCTATACAAGCTTACAAAGTACTTAGTGATTTCTTAAAAAAAAAAGAGCAGAATTTATATGCATGTATTGTTCAGAATTCCGGCCTGTGCTTCCTTGTGTATTTCAGCAGTGCTAAGGTTGTGTAAGGAGCTGTGGTGGCATAGTGGATTTAGTGTGGGCTGCTAACTGTAAGTTTGATGGTTCAAACCTATCAGGTACTTTGCTGGAATAAGACGAGACTGTGTGCTCCTGTAAGTCTGGGACACCTTAAGAAACAGTCTGCCCTGTTCTGTAAGGTTGCTATGAGTCAGAATTGACTTGATGGTAGTAAGTTTATAAGTTGTGTTAGTGTAGTTGTCAGGTTTTTCATGGGGGGGGGTGTGTGTGTGTGACATAGCCTGTTTTATTTTTAAGTGATGTTTTATAACTTAGCATAAATTACTGCTGTGAAGGGAAACAGAACCCATTTCCCTACTCTTTTCTAAAGAATTTTTTATCTTATTTTAAAATTTTGTTGTAACACCTTACATTACCTAAATTTACCCAAGATTCAAGAAATAAGTTAAGAGCCCTAAGTTTCCCACACAGATGTAATAAGTAGATTTCATACACTTTGTCTCAGGTACCTTAGTCAAAATGGGCTCTTCTGGTCCTTTCACAGGACCTCTTGACTTTCATTCTCCAATTCGAATGAACTTGATTATAGGACTAAGAGCAAGTCCCCCCAAAAAATCCATTGCCTTTGAGTTGATTCCAACTCACAGCGATCCTACTATATAGGGGTTTCCAAGACTGTAAATCTTGGCAGGAGCAGACAGCCTCATCTTTTTCTTTCAGAGTGGCTTAAGGTTAGCAGTCCAATGCTTAACCCTCTGTACTACCAGGGTGCCTAAGAGCAGGTTAGGTCACTTCTTAGAAGAAGGAAAGGTCTTATTTTAGTCAGATAACATGGGCTAATGCAAACTGTGTTATCTAACAAAGAGAACACACATACGAGCTTAAAAAAATAGACAACAGATGCTAGTTTAGAGGCGCATAGTATAGTATTCTAAAATTTAGTCAGTTTTGAGGATATTGTTTTCTGTGACGTATCTCTTAATTAATCTGTGGTTAATATTTGATAGTCCCCAAAAACGTAAGGTTTGGATATTCTGTATAGAAAGCTGAAGATTTTATAGGGCTGCTTTTTTATTTTGTAATAGAATCAATATTGACTTTATATTGGAAATTGTGTGGTGTGATTAGTTAATAAATTAACTTTCAATGCAGCAAAGTTCATGTTTCTTTACATTTAAAAGAAAATTCAACAACTTTTGTGTTTGTACTTTATTGCTCTAGACTAGAATGTGATAGGAGTTTTTTGTTTTTGACATCAGGTTTGGACTCCCTGACTCTAGACGCCATGGTGAGAGCATATGTCTGTCTCCATGTAGTACACTGGCAGCAGCAACAGATGATTTTGGCAGAGTCATTTTGTTGGATGTAGCAAGAGGAATTGCAGTACGCATGTGGAAAGGTATTGCTTACAAAAGTCTAGGTTAAAAAGTTAATTTATATTTAGATCCTCTGGTGATTACAGTGTTTAACCTGTATTAGTACTTTTTTAATGTAAGCTCAGATTTAATCCAGTAGTCCTACTGACATATTCTGTAAATTTGATTACACTTTTAGCCTCTTTCTTACAGACTTCCTTTAGTTTCTCACTGTTATCATCATTTCCTGAATTTCATTTCTTGCCTCTACTGTGTTTATGTCACCTCATGCAGTTGCTTTTTAGCCAGATTATGTCCCCAGATCTAGAATGCCAAATCTTTCTGATTTAAGATCACAAAACTCAGCAAAACCCATTTTCCCCAACTTGACTTTTATATCCATATGTCTGGGTCTAACTGGGTCAGTTAGCAGTTGCACTCAGCTGCTAGTAACAGAACCAAGTGCAGTTCCACTGTGATATTCCCAGGGATCCAGGACTCCTTCCATGTAGAGTCCACACTCAAAAGTTACCTTGGGATCCAGAATGCTAGACGTCCAACTTACCCATGTCCCAGAAAGTGGGAGAGAAGACAAGGATTCCTGCCAACCAAGTCAGTTCACTGTGAAGATATTTTTTCAAGTCCCTTCAACTTTTATTAGAATTAAGTCACATAACCATATGTTCCTGAAGGGAGACTTGAAAATGTCTTTATCTGGGTACACTATCCACCTGAATGAATAAAAAGCTCTCCTTACTTAGAAAGGAGTGTAGTGGCTTTGTAGGATAAGCATTGAACTGTGAACCACAGTGTTGGTGGTTTGAGCCCAACAGCCCCTCTGTGGGAGAAAGATGAGGCTTTTTGTCCCCTCAAGGACGAACAGCCTCAGAAACCCTGTATGGGGTCGCTATGAGTTGGAACTGACACAGTGGTACTTAACAGCTAAGAAAGAGGGGGAATGTATTCTTTGCAGTCATCTGGAAATGTTAACAGGTCAACATAGACTACTGGTTGGAAATCACAGTTACAGGGTAATGTGATTTGCTAAATGTGAGGAATAGGAATTTAAGGACATTAAGTTGCTCTGAAATCGATGGAAACCACTGTCACCCTGCCATAGAACTGGTGCAGTGACAGAGCCTTCACCTGCCACATGTTTAGTTGTCTGAAATACATCTCAGTGCTGTGCATGCATCATTTCCCCTTGGTCTGTCTTCTGAAACTTCGAGGGTGTTCTCAGCAAGACTTTTTCAGAAAACAGAAGGCCCCCTGAACCTATTGGTCCAAGTCCACTCCGTGGATTTTCTTGTTGGGATTGTTGCCTATCTTGCAGCTCCTGTCTCTTCAGACTTCCTGTAAGAGGGAGCAGTGTTCCTGGGGAACAAGCGGCCAAACAATTGCCCTTTCATGTGCAGGGGCGTCCTCTCATCGTTAGATTATCCATGGTCTCCCTCTGTTTGCTTACCACCAGCAGAAAATAAATGGAATCTTTTTCTCGTGTGTGTGTGTGTGTGTGTGTGTGTGTCTTCTGTGTAGTAAAATATAACAGGAAATTTTGCCATTTTGATCATTTTCAAGTGTGCAGTTCACTGACATTAATCACACTCCTTAACGTTGTGTATCCATCAACAGTAACTATTTCCAGAAGTTTTTCATTACCTCAGTTTTTCTAATAAAAACAGCACCACTTAAGCCAACAACTCATTTCCCCTCTAACTCATGGTGGTGGCGTTATTAAGTGCCATACAGTTTATTCTGACTCAGTGACCCTACTTAGGGTTTCCAGGTAGTGGCTGGTGGGTTTGAACCACTAACCATATGGTTCTCAGTCAGTGTTCATTGTACAGCACCACATCAGGACTCTTAACCCATGGCAAGCACTAATAAACTTTGGTCTCCATTCATTTGCCTGTTCTAGATATTTCAGATCAGTGGAATCATCCATTACGTATCCTTTTGTGTCTGACATTTCTGTCAGCATAATGCTTTCAAGGGTAGCATGTATCAGAACTTTACATGTTTCTTTTCATAACTGAGTGACATTCTATTGTATGAATGACATTCTGTGTACCAAATCTTGTATTGCTGAGGACTTGGGCGGTTTCTGCCTGTTGGTTACTGTGAATAGTGCAGGAGTGAGAACTGGCGTTCCAGAGTTTGCATGAGTCCCTGCTTTCAAGGCTTTGGGTTCTGTACCTAATAATATTGCTGGGTGTATTTTATTAATTGGGCTTTTATTTTTAATGTAAACTGATAACTCCAGACAACTTTCAAAGGGGAAGAAAAACAAGGGAAGTGGATCAGGGAGGGTTCTGAGACTTTAAATGATATCTATAATGTTTTGTTTTTAAAGACAAGTGATAGAAGAATTATAGCAAAATATTAAGACTTAATAAGATTAAAGTGATAAATTTAGTGTTTATTGTGTTTATAATTGTCTACTTTTCTGTTTTAAGATATTTCATAATAGATAATTGGAATCTGTAGCTTTTCATACCTTCTTCTTTCCCCTATCCCAAATATTCCAAAATGCTTAAGAAGGCTACTAATTAACTTAACTAACAAATTAGCTTCATTTTCTTCTGTCTCCAAGGGTACCGGGATGCACAGATTGGATGGATCCAAATTGTAGAGGACCTCCATGAAAGAATACCAGAAAAGGTGGATTTGTCCCCTTTTGGAAACACTCAGGGTCCAAGTCGAGTAGCCCAGTTCCTTGTGATCTATGCTCCAAGGAGGGGAATACTGGAAGTGTGGAGCACGCAGCAGGGACCTAGAGTAGGAGCTTTCAATGTGGGAAAGTACTGTAGGTAAGTTGTAAAGCTGGGCATTTTTTCAATTATAAAAAGAGACAGGTATGCATTTATTACAGATACAATATGCTGCTCATTAAAGTTGTTTGAGAACTGAAACGTTCTTTAATGTGGGTTTTTCCTTGAGTCCCTAGTATATGATTAAGAGTGAAGTATTTAAGAAACCCTCTATCCCTTATCCTATGGAGATACTAAAGAAAAGATTCTGTTAAAGGCCTCTGGTGATGTTGTAATAACTCCTTGGATGGTACAAATGGTTAAGTGCTTGACTACTAATGGAAAGGATGACAGTTCAAACCTACCTGGAGGCTTCTTGGCAGACAGGCTTGTTGACCAAAAGATCATTGCCTTGAAAACTCTATGGAGCAATTCTACTCTGCACACATGAGACTGCATGAGTCAGAATTGACTTGCCAGCAATGGACAAAAACAACAGTGATGTTAAGTGCGGTGACTGCTTTTTTTGTCATCGAAGGCAAACACTGACTATGTTCATTTAATTTTCTAGTAAATTTTGATAATGCTACCATTCTAGCTGGCTGTACTTGGCTTTGTTATCTGTTGGTACTTATTTGCCTGTATTGATTCTCCAGAATTTAGTATTAATGTAAGGTTCCCTAGCTATAATAAAAATCACCTTTTGTCAATTCTCTTAATATCTTTGCCATGTCGGTGTGTGATTTCCTTAGGCTACTGTATCCTGGCTATAAAATAATGGGCTTAAATAATGTGACCAGCCAGAGTTGGCAGCCACAAACGTACCAGATCTGTCTTGTTGATCCAGTGTCTGGAAGTATGAAAACCGTGAATGTTCCTTTCCATTTAGCACTGAGGTAAGGTTTATTGAGTATCTGCTGATTCATGTCCCTCTGCTAACTTTTCCTAATCTTTTTTTTTTTTTTTGCTATATGCTTTGTTGTTTTTATCATTAGACTGATAGCTCTGAAGTTAAAATTGGAAGAATGTAAAGGAAGAAGAATGGGGGTGTATCAAAAATTAGAAGGAAAACGTAATTGCACTTTCTGCAATGATTTGTTGTGTTTATTGTTTTAGTGATAAAAAGAGTGAACGAGCCAAGGACATGCACTTAGTGAAGAAGCTTGCAGTTTTACTGAAAACAAAATCATCCAGTTTAGGTATGTATCCTCTAATAAAAACAAAAGCATGCTGTTTTGTCATTTTTAAAAATAGATGGGATATTCTAAATGAGCAAAGTACTGAAATGCGTTTCCAGCTATCTGAACTCTTTCATGGAGTGAGATGGGATACAAATAATCAAGTGTATTTTTTATTAGAATTGTTCTATAAAGATTAAGTGTGCGAGCTATAAGTGGGTTAGAAGTTTGTGGAAATAAAATAATATGAGGGAGAACCCAGAAATCCTTTAGACTGGCTGATAGTACATAAACATGAGCATTTTTGTTTCAGAATAAAGTTTTGTACTAACAGTAAAAGTGAAAATTTTGTTTACATTTTCTCTTTATAGAGTCACTTGAACCTGAAATAAAGGAATTAATTCTTGATATTAAATACCCTGCAACCAAAAAGCAAGTAAGTGTATATAATACATGAGCTTTCCTGCTAAATAAGTAGTTACTGTGCATTATACTTAAGAAAGTCTTCATTTTTCCATTTCCTTCCAGACATACAGAACAAAGCCTTCTTTTCATGTTTTTATTCATGGTCATCTCTTTTTAGGTTTCTGTATAGAATGTCCTGTTGTCTCCTCCTTTTCTTTCTTTTTTTAAAAAAGTAACATTTCCATGCATATATAAATAGTGCGTGATTTTTTACACACATGTGCGTGATCAGCCAGCTTGGAATGTTGCCAAGATCTCTTGAAAAGCCCATAAAGCTCTGCTCACTCCTGTCATCATTTATTCTCATCCCCATGTAAACAGTATTCATAATCCGGTGTTTCTCTGCCCTTTTCTTTACTTCATACCTTTATGGATCTTTTAAAATATATTCAGGCATTTTCTGTGTTTTTTTTTTTAAATTGTATATAAATGGAGTCATGGTATATGGATTCTTCTGTGACTTTCTTTGTCCTTCAACATTAATGCTTCTGAGGTTCATCCATGATGATGTCTTTGGCTATAGTTGACTCAGTTACTATCCTATATGAAATCTGTTCTGTCTCTAATCTAATTTATGTATTTACTTTTAGTGGACTCTTTTAGGTTGTTTCCACTTTTTATTTTTATTTTTTACTATTATAAATAATGATGCTATGATTATTCTTGAGCATGTTTCCCTGGTGCATATGTATAAGTGTGTCCCTTGAGTTAATTCTTAAGGGTAGCATTACCTATGAGTGGGATTGCTAGGGTGTGAACTTCTTCAGCTTTACTAGTTGAAGACAAATTGCTTCCCAAAATACTTGTTCCGATTTATGTTCTGAATTATGCTATGTTACAGTCCCTGCTGACTAAAAGCTTCAACATCTCATGGTATTGTCAGACTTTCTAGCTTTTTCCTTGTGGCAACTCATTGTGATTTCTTTTGATCCCCTTTCTCTTATGTGAACTCCTCATAATGCAGCTCAAGTTGTAAGACACTAAAATTTTATTTGACACTCATGAGCACCATTGAACTCCAGGAGAAACAGTCAAAATGCTTAACAGTTCTGTTTCTCTTTCTTCTTGTCTTACATCATGAAATAACAGAAGTGGGAAACTTTAGCATAGTACAAGCCATCATCTTTAAGGTCTTTTTTTTTCAGTACACTAATGAACTGTATATAAAAAATTGTGTATTTTTTAAAATCTGAAAAAAAGCCAAATAGTAAAAGTTGTGGATTGTTTTACATCCTGAGAGGGAAAGAAGAAGCCAATTTAGGTTTGTGAAACTGAAAAGGAAGAAAGGAAACTAAATGCTAGCCTATGTAACCGTAGGCAGGACATAGTTATGTTGTTGTGAAGTGCTGTCGAGTCACTTCTGACTCGTAGGCTGTTCCTATATAGCCACATTGTGTAGGGTTTCCAGGGAACAAATGGTGGGTTTGAACTGCTGACCTTGTGATTCACAGTCCATTGCAGATCCTACAGTGTCACACCAGAAGTCCTAGGCAGGACATGAATAGATTATGTTTGTATTGGGCACTTGCCTTTTGTTCAATCACTTGCTTATTATCCTCAGGTAGCTGCTTCATCAGAGGCCCAACCAACCTTTTGGTAGCGTCATGGCTCTGTAGGATAAGCACTGGACTGCTAACCACGTGGTTGGTGGCTCAAGCCCACCAGCTGCTCCTCAGGAGAAAGATGAGGCTTTCTGCTCTTGCTAACATTTACAGCCTCAGAAACTCCACATAGGGTTGCTGTGAGTTGGAACTGACTCCACAACTCTTAACCACCAACCTGTATTGAGTGACCTTCTAAACCCACTTATCACCCGCAAACGTATGGAGGTTTATATGTTCTAATCTGATACTTGTCTCATATCACAGGGTAATTTTTAAAGTATTTAATCGCTTCAATTAAAATGCAATTCAGTGTGCTAATACACATAAGAACTTAACTTCACTGTATAACCCGTTGATGTTTCTGATGGTTGCTACTTTAGGCATGAAATTTTGGGACTGGTAATGAAGACTTAAATGTAATAATGGAGTAGGGATCTGATAGGATGAGGTAGGAAGTATATGTACACATATATATGTCATGACCTATGGATTCAGCCAGTCATATTCACATGCCATAATTAATATAGTTAAATTATGCTCAATTGTGATCATTTCTTCTGCTTTTCATTTAAGTATATACTATACTTAAAACTTTTTTTTTTTTTTTTTGCTGATTTATATCTTTAATCTCTGTTTCTGTGTTGTCCTTCGGTTATGTATTAGTTGCCTTCTAGTCTTTGTATTTCTCAGTATAGACTGTTATTTTACTGTATTTGTCATACTATCAAGTTGCTTTTATTACTTAGGATGCAACATTTATTCTCAGGTATGCATACTAAAATTCTGAAGATTTATACATCTTAAACATGGAGCCTTTGAAATTTGCTGCGGTGAAAGTGTAGGCATTAAATTTAAACTTTACAAAACAAAAGCATTGCCTTCTAATTACTGAACTGTTGGATGTCTTTCTTCTAGGCATTGGAAAGCATTTTGGCAAGTGAACGCTTACCAGTTTCCTGCCTTCGAAACATTACTCAGACTTTAATGGACACTTTACAGAATCAAGGTAATTGGTTTTGTACAGATTAGATGTTAACAGTCTCACTTGAGATTTTTTAGCTCTTATTTCAAAACACTGTTAGCTGCTTACAGTGCCATCCTGTTACTTTTGTGTGGAAAAAATATAAAGTGTTTTTAAGTCCTGTCAGGTTGGTTCTAACTCATCGCTACTCTGTGGAGCGTTTCCAAGGAGTAACTGGTGGGCTTGAACTGCTACCCTTAACAGTTATCAGTCCATTGCTTATCCTATAGCACCACACCAGGACTCCAAAATATTTACGTATAGGGGCTTTAAAAAGTTCATGGGAAAATTCCATTATTGTTCCATTCAATTTTTCTACAAACGTTTTGCGTTCTGTAAGAAATGAGGAAATTCATTTCACACCTTTCTTTACCTCATTCTTTTATGTTTGTAGCTGTTTGCTGTTCATGTAAGTTTTCTGTGAACGAGCTTACGTTGTTTTTAGGAGGAAAATTTTCAATTCCTTTCTTGTGAATACAGAATACTGTAAAAGTTGGCATGAGAAGAAATTTTGCAAGTGACATATACGAATTAACCAGGTTCTCTTTTGCTACCATTGCATTTGATTTAACTTTTGGGAGAAAGCTGTTTCTATAGATGGAGCATTTTTTTAAGCATTGTGGCTTTAGCATAATGATCAAAACTGTGCATGCTTTAGTATAGCAGATGGTCCTGTGGCATCCACATTTTCTTATCCATTTCTTTCATCGGCAGAATTAGGACTTCCAAGATCACAGACTGTGATCTGATTATTAGTCCTGAGATGTCTGTTGTTTTTTTCATTGTCCAGGATGTATTAATCTACAAAGAATTACACCTGAGACTGGGGTTGTAACCCTCTGTTTTATCCAGATGAGCTAGCAAAATTCCATTTATTCTGAATACCTGCTATCACTAAAGTTGTATTACGATACTTTCACCTAGACTTAATGTTTAAACTTCTGTTTGTTTTGTTAATCATAATTACGTAAAGCTTGCTCTGTGTTTAATTATATTTATACCAGGTTAAAGTGACCTTGTAAACAAATCATAATATGCCCTTTCAGGACTATAAAAATCCAAATTTTGAGACACTTCTTCTATTGTTAACTTTTCTCACCAGATATATGACACTGACTTTTTCATAAACAATGAAATCCTTTATTCCACACAGTTTTTCGAATTATTTTCACTTATAAAAAGTATGGCCTTCCCTAACACTTCAAGAAAAATCTCAAAAATTGTTAAATTAAAAATTATGTTGTCCTGAACTGGAGTAAACCAAATACTATTATTGTTGCTAAGTGCCTTTGAGTTGATTCTGATTCATAAGAATCTTGCATAAGGTTTCCAAGGCTTTAAATCAAGGCCACTGTAAACTCTAGCCATAAATCAGATTTCTTTAAAAGTTCAACTATTTCGTATGCCACGTTTTATTATGGCTGTGAGAACTTAAACAGTATTCCATTTTACTCTGTAGTATGTAATAGTTTTTGAGGTTTTCAGTGTCTGCCGTCTTTAAGAGTAAGCATTTGTCTTACGTTAAATGTGAATGTTTATTACACAGAAGGGCATCATGCAGAAAGTGACTATTTCCCCAGCATTAACCTGGAAGCAATATAAAACTTGACTGAAGGGGATTTGTACTGATTAGAGGTTATAATTTTAAATGGAATGCTTCTATTGATCTCTTTTCCAGCTTTCTTTAAAATACCAACTTTTTAATTGTGATAAATATGTGACACAAAACATTTGTCATTTCTGTATTCTTACATGTACAGTTCAGTTACATTCACTTATTTCATCATGTTGGTCAACCAATACCTTTACTAGTTTCCAGTTTTTTGTATGAAATCGCCAACTTTTCTAAAGGATACTCTTGTCATAATCCAGTTTCTGGTCAAATTGTATTATCTTTGACTTTCATGATAATAAAAAGCAAGCAATTCTATTTGTATATCCTCAGTGATATTATGAGCATAACATATATGACTTATTTTTGAAAAACATGGAGTGAAGGAGAATATTGTCAAAAGTGTTTCTGGATCATTTTCTTAAATTGAAGTATTAGATTTAGGTATTTCTACACCACTTCCCTTTACAGCCCCATATTGTATTTAAAAATCTGACGATTTGCTACTCTGGAAAAAGTACATAGGCTTTCATAACCTGTACCAATGTAAGCATCCCAGCATTTGCTACAACAGAACATCAGGGCATTATATAATATTATGAGATTTAATGAAAGCAAAGCTTTTTGAGTCTTTTAAGTATATCTCTTTAATGATTTTCCTCTCTGCCTTCTAGAGCTTGAGTCTGTTGATGAAGGATTGCTACAGTTTTGTGAAAATAAACTAAAATTGCTCCATCTGTATGAGTCTGTCAGCAAATTAAATTCTCTTGGTTTCCATTCAGATACACCATTCTCTGATGCTGTGAGTAATCCTAAATCGTGTTACTCTATAAAATGATCTTGGTGTTTTTAAAAAAGTGATTATTATTCATTTGTAGTAAAACTACAATAGAAAGCTAAGAATTATTTTTAAAATGTATAGCTCCCTGCTGACTTCTGTACCTTGCTGTTAAATTTATGTATCATTTATGGCAGAATACTCAATTTGATTATTAACCCAGTTTTATTACCCTAGCATTTGGTCTTTGGTCTTTCTGAGCTCATTTCTTAAGATGATTTCTTATTAATAACAACTTTTTCTGGACAGAGTTTGCCAATTATACAGTGTATTCAGTTTACTGAAATGACAAAACTCATTTCTTTTAAGAAAAAAAGAAAGAAAGCCATTTTGCCGAATAAACATACAGAAAGCATGTTTTTCTGTGGTGGTGGTGGTGTTGTTGCTAGCAAACTAATGATATTGTTGTTGTTAAGTGCCATTGAGTTCGTTCCAACTCATAGTGACCCTGTACAGGGTTTCCGAGGCTGTAAATCTTTACAGGAGCAAAAAGTTTTATCTTTCTCCTGTTGGGACAGCTGGTAGTTTTGAACTGTTGACATTGCATTTAAAAAAAGTCTTGCATCAAAGTGCTTATAGTAATTATGTTGTTGTTTTGTGCCATCGAGTTGGTTCTGACCCATAGCGACCCTGAACAGGGTTTCCGAGGTTATAAATCTTTACGGGAGCATAAAGCCTCATCTTTTTCCTGCGGAGCAAGCAGCTGGTAGTTTCAAACTGCTGACCTTGCGGTTCCACAGCCCAATTCGTAACCACTACGCTACCAGAGCTCCTTATAATGGTTAATAATCATGTTCCATATTTTTATTCTACAAAACATGAGAAAGTGACAGCATCTAGTAGTCTTTTTTCACAGTGTAGTATTATGGACTGCAAGAATGGATTGAACCACAGGGTTGGTGGTTCAAACTCACCAGGCACATCTTGGAAACCCTATAGAGGGTTGCTGTGAGTTAGAACCGACTCCAGAGCACTTAACAACAACACAGCAATAATTAGGCGCTTCTGAGCAGCATTTGTCTCTAGGTCTTACTATGCATAGACAGAAGGAAAGTTTCTCTGAGCTGCCCCTCGCTCCCCTCAGATTAATGTGGGGAGCAGGTTTCCCAGCCTCACACTCTCCTGTCTTCTTCTCCTCTAAAGAAGGATTCCTATTAAAGTGAGCTTAGTGATTTGTCAAGACTACAATAATGTTTTTGTTTTTCCAGGCATGGTATGCCTGAAAATTAATTGAAATTTAGGTAGACTTTTTTATTTTTAAATACACATACGAATATGAAATTTTTAAGAAGAAAAATTAAAGATTTTCTGTCTGCATTGCAAACAATTCACATTTTCTAGCATCTTTTATATATAAGGAGTTTTCAGAAAGTTCCTGATAAAATTCCAGTATCATTTGGTTCCATTTCCACCAGCTGTTTGAAGCCCCTGTCATATACGAGGGTAAGTCAAGCCAACAAGGTTTGCTACCAGGGTTCCAGTTCAAACATGCCCAGGTTTATTCACTATGCTTATGCATGTCTCTGTGATCAGTGGATGGCAGCAGACAAGTTCACTCAGTAATACACTGTCTTACTTTCATTAGGGTGCCTTCAAAGAAAAAAACCTTGTAGTCTGAATGTGGGATAATTCCATACATACAAAACTGAAATTCAAATTTCAGTAAATTCATTTTTACTCTCTGTGGACATAGTACACGTAAGTTCAGTACAGCCAGCCCTCTGGATCCATTGGTTCAGCATCAGCAGATTCAGCCAACTTCTGATTGAAAAAACAAAAAAAAATTAAGCGGTCAAGCAATCTGTCAAAGGCTAAGAGGGGGATGTCAATTTCTGTTTACATGGCATTTGCATTCTGTTAGGTATTATAAGTAACCCAGAGATGATCTAGAGTACCTAAGGAGCTCTGGTAGCATAGTGGTTACGACTTGGGCTGCCAACCTGAAGGTCAGCAGTTCGAAACTACCAGCTGTTCCACCGGAGAAAGATGAGGCTTTCTGCTCCCATAAAGATTTACAGTACAGAGATTTACTGTACAGGGTCACTATGAGTCAGAACCGACTCCACGGCACATAACAACAACAAAATGCAGAGATTATATGCACACACTACATCTTTGTACATAAGGAACTTGGGCATCCACTGAGCTTGGTGTCCCTGGGGGACCTGGAGACCATCCCCAGCAGAGGGGCAAAGTTGTATTACTGAACTAAAAACTGTATATCACTGACAGACACATTTAATAGTCTGTCAGTTTGCTCTTGTTCTAAGAAAGAAAAACAAAAGTAAATGAATAAATGAGAGTTGTCATGTATAAAGGTAAAGAAAAGTTTTGTTGCTATGACAAATTGATAGGCTTTTAAAGAAAAGTGTCCCTGTCTGTATGTGTAGTGTGTGTACTTGTTTCTAGTTTGAAAAAATAACCATTTAGAGAGATTTGTGCAATACTGTATATAAACATTGTCTGATAAACTTGCAGTTTCTCTTTGTGACTTTCTAATCTCATCTGTATTCTGGAGAGCCACAACCCAGAAATGCACTGCCATCAAGTCGATTCTGATTCATACTGACCTTGTACAGGGTTTCAGGGACTGAATTGGAGCAGAAGGCCTCATGGAATGGCTGGTGGGTTTGAACTGCCAACCTTGCAGTTAGTGGTCTAGAGCTTATCCTCCAGTGCCACCGGGATTACTTGGAAACCACATTGTTGTTGTGGTTTAAGTACCACTAAGTGTGTTCAGACTCACAGCAAGCCTGTGAGTGGCTGGTGAGTTTGATCCACCAACCTTGCAGTTGAAACCGACCTTGGAGAAGTTAAATGTGGAAAGATAAAATGATGATTATTTTAACCCTGTTTTTATTTTATAGTTTTTACGCTGAATTATAAATAAATACTCAATTTCAGGTAGTTCATTAATTTTCTCAGAATCACAGGAGTTGCATTTGACCCCCTGGTTAATTTTTTTCCAAAAGTTCAATAATAAGTGTTCATTAAAACTTCAGTTATAAAAGTGATGCTTTTAGTAGTATACGGTATCTTAAGCTTTGCTTATTGCATTTAAGTAGCCTTATGAAACGTAATTCAGTAGTGGTGTTAAGTACATTGCAGGTTTCACAATGATGAACAAGTCACATTTGCTTAACTTAAAAAGCAGTTAACTACTCTGCCTATGACCTGGCTTGTCATTCAGATGATGGAAGTTAACATAAAAGGAGACATGGTCTATGCAGAATTATTTGTCCTTTGTTTTTAAGGATTTGGCTGTGTTACTACGACTTGATGAACAAGAACTGCTAAAGCTGCAGTCATTATTAGAGATCTACAAGCAAGAGAACACCAGGACTACTGTCCGATTCTCTGATGCTAAGGATGCTGTGTTGCCTGTAAAAACGTTTCTGGAGCATTTAGAATATGAGAAAGATGTGATCAACATAAAGAAGATAAATGAAGAGGAGTATGTAGCTTTGGGTAGGTAAAATAATAACTTGCTTTTTCAATTTTTCTTCTTTAAAAGAAAATCTGATTGAAGGATACAGTATCGCAAAAATTTTGTTTTGAAATTAAATTAACCAAAGAATTTAATGTTTGGTCTTATGGCCAATAAAGGTTACTCTGTATATATATGTGTGTTTTGTTGTTGTTAAGTGCTGTTGAGTTGGTTCTGACTCATAGTGACCTTGTACGAGGCTTCCACGGAGCAGCTGGTGAGTTTGAACTGCTGACCTTGTAGTTCAAACCAAGCTTGCGGTCCAGTGCTTTATCCCACATTGCCACCAATATTCCACATATGTGCAGTGTCATGCACATTACAGGAATAAGTATGCTAGAGGAGACATGTAACAGCTTGTCTTCTACTTTACTAAATCAATCAAATTGAACCCCTGTCTTTTTTCATATGCTCTTCTGCTCCATTGGGACTCTAGATTGCAGTTCAGGAAAGTGAATAGTGCAAATCGTGAGGAGTCATTGGTTAATGTGTTTTGTTTTTGTTTTACTAGGCAGTTTCTTTTTTTGGAAGTGCTTGCATGGAGAAAGCTCCACTGAGGATATGTGTCACACATTGGAGTCTGCTGGCCTTAGCCCCCAGCTGTTGTTGGTAAGGTTTGTCACTGCTAGGTGTGCTGTTCTTCCTTGTCGACGTCATCCAGAAGTCATTTCATAGCATTGTCTTTTTTTTTTTTTTTTAACTTTTTACTGTGAGCTGAGTGAAGGTTTATAGACAAGATTATTAGTTTTACATTCAACAAATCATATACTTTGTTTCATCTCAATGATTGCAATCCCCAGTCCCCTCCCTCCAGCGACAGTTATCTTGCTTCCTCTCTGTGGCTCCCATCTCCATTCTACCCATCTGCCCATCCCTTCTCGCCAATGTCCTTAGGTATATTAGCATTGCCTTTTCCTGTATCATAGAACTTACATGAAAGTCTTATAAAAATGATCACATCTGTAATCACCATTAGTGGAATTGTATTTTGATTTCATGTTCCCTATAAATTATAACAAGCACATTCCACAACTGGCCTACAGTGAATTTTAAATCTGAGTGTGTACATGCATTTACAATGAACTTTGGGTATCAGTAAAAATTGTCATTTTAGAAATCAAAAAGATCTTAGAGAAAAAAATTAATTTCCCTTTAAGTGATAAACAATTATTATCTAACATTTATAAACTTTGAGTATATAAGTCAGCATTTAATTATTATAACAGAAGTAAAACAAAAGAATCAAAATCTACAGCACTAAATTTAAAGATCTGTATTACCTTTTCTGAATACAGAAGTTATCGAGTCCCTGAGTGGTACAAATAGTTAAGCATTCTACTAGCCAAAAGGTTGGCGGTTTGAACCCACCCAGAGGGGCCTCAGAACACAGGCCTGGTGATCTGCTTCCAAGAGGTCACAGGCTTAAAAACTTTACAGAGTACTTATACTCTGCGCTTGTGGGTTACCTTGAGTTGAAATCAACTTGACACTGAACAACAAAATAAGGAAGTTACTCCACCATCATTCACCAGTCTATCTGTTTTGGGACCTTTAACACACACTTTTCTATACCTTCACTCATGCATTTCGGCCAAAATTACCTCACTCAGCTTGTTGACTGTATTAATGTATTGTTTTTACTGACTGTTTACACATCCTTTTGCCATCAAGTTGATTTGAACTCACGGCAATCCAATGAGGCAGAGTAGAACTGCTCCTTAGTTTCTGAGCCTTCACACGGGAGCGGACTGCCTCATCTCTGTCCCGCAGAGCAGTTGGTGGATTTAAACCTTGTGGTTAGCAGTCCCAACACTGAACCGACTATACCTTTAAAAAGAGTCCTTTAAAATTAGATTCTGTTCTGTCTCACTATAGCATTGTATATGTGCATGGAGTCCTGGTGTGGCACTGTGGGGTTAATGCGCTAGACTGCAGAGTCAGTATGAACCGTAAGGTCAGTGGTTCAAGCTCACCCACTGCGCCTCAGAAACCCTATATCCGGGCACTATGGGTTGGAATTGGCTCAACAGCACTTAGCAGCAACAACAGCAATATACTACATGATTCCATTTGTGTAACATTTGAGAAATAGCATAGTTATAGCAATGTAAAAATGGATTAGTGGCTGACAAGAGTTACAATGAATTCAGAGAGAAGATGGCTGTGCCTAACAAGTGTTGATACGAGGGAGGCTTTTGCTGATGATACTACGGAGGGTCTTCGTTGTGCTGGTGATTATGCAAGGCTGCTCGTGTGATAAGATTGCATAAAGGTATACATAGCCACTCACAAACGAGTACCAGTGGAACTGCAGAAATTTGGAGAAGCTCTGTGTATTTTGCCTACGGCAGTGTTGATTGTGATACTATATTTAGTTGTGTAGGGTGTTCACATAGGACAAGGCTGGGAAAGGATGCGCAGGACTTCCCTCCACATTTCTTTGATCTTGCCTGTAATTACTTTTAAGTAATTTTTTTTTTTCTTTAAAGGGCTACTTATTGCCTGCCCAACTTGTTGATACTAAGTGCAGTGGAGTTGGTTCTGACTCATAGTGACTCTAAGGTTTCTTAGGAGCACCCGGTGGGTTTGAACTGCTGACCTTGTGGTTCACAGTCCAGTGCTGATCCTACAGTGCCACGCCAGATGTCCATCCAGGTTAACATACTTAAATAAAATAAGCACACAGTACTTGTTACTTACAGTGTGTTTATTCAGTATCCACATTTATTGTCTGCATAAATCTTGGAATAACAGTGCACTTAAAACACAATTAACCTCAGTCCCTACTTTAAACTGTGTATACAAAATGTAGCTCAAAAATGGAACACAGATCTAAATATAAGGTAAAAACTACAGCTCTTATTGAAGAAAACAGGAGAACACCTTTGTGATCTTGGTTTAGGCAATGATTTCTTAGGACACAAAAAACATTAGTCACAAATGAAAAATGCTGATAAACTACTTTATCAAACTGCCAATTTCCTGTATTAAAAAGATACTATTAACAAACTGAAAAGGCATACTTCTTTTTCCAAAACTATATGATGAATAACTTGTATTCACATATGTAATGAACTTGTACAACTCAATAATAAGATAAATGATACTTTCTTAAAAATGAGAAAAAAATTTGGACAGACACATCACCTTTTATAAAAATACACATACAGGTGGCAAGTAATCACATGAAAAGCTGTTCAACATCATTATTAGTTCCTAAGAAAATGCAAAATGAAACTGCAGTGGCCCTTGCGCCATTGTTGTTGCTGTTAAGTGCCGTTGAGTCAGTTTTGCCCCATAGCGACCTTGTACCATTAGAATGCCTAAAATTTACAAGAGTGATCATACCACCTGTTAATGGGGATGTGGAGTAATCAGAACTTTCATGCACAGCTAGTGAAGACACAAAGTAGTACAACCACTTTGGAAAGCAGTTTGGCAAATCCCATGTAATCCATCAATCTCTCCTTGGTATTTTTCCAAGAGGAATGAGGAGGTATGTTCATACTGTGTCTTGGACTAAGCTGTTCCAAGTGTTAGTCATAATAGCCCATACTGGAAGCAACCCAGGTGTGTCTTTACAGAGTAGACAGCCTCATCTTTCTCTTGCAGAATTGTTGATGGGTTTGAACTGCTAACCTCGCAGTTTGCAGTCCAATGTAAAGGCGAAGAGGGAACATGAATTCTAGTCACATAGCATTTACGTTTTATTAGGATGAAGCTCTGGACCACATGGTCAGTTTGAACCACTAGGTCGGGGCTCAAACTCACTAGCCACTCCTTGGAAACTTCATACAATGATGCTATGAATCAGAACCGACTCAACGGCACTTAACAACAACAGCAAAGAGAATACAGTGTTAGTGTAACGTCTTAGCCTAAGCACTGGACTGCAAGGTCAGTTTGAACTGTGAGATTGATGGTTCAAACCCACCAACTGCTCCTCAGAAATTCTGTACAGGGTCACTGTGAGTCAGACTCTGCATGACTGCACTTAACAGCATCAACAACAACGTAGTCTATAAGGCTAGGGGCAGACTATATAAGAGACCATCAATTCATATGCAAGTTCAGAATAAAGCTGAAGAAAATTTAAACGAGTTCCATAAGAACCAAAATATGACCTGAAGATATCCTACCTGAATTTAAAGATCATCTCAATGACAGATTTGATTCATTAGACACTAATGATTGAAGACCAGAAGAGTTGTGGGGTGACATCATCCAGGAAGAAAGCAAAAAAGACTCATTAAGACAAAGAAGAAAGAAGAGCTCAAAATGTCAGGAGAGACTCTGAAATTTGCTTTCTAGCATAGAGATGTTAAAGAAATGGAAGAAATGAGAAGGTAAAAGAGTGGACTAGAAATTTTCTAAGGGCAGCTCATGAAGACAAAAGTCAAATATAATGAAATGTGCAAAGATCTGGAATTAGAATATCAAAAGGGACAAACATACTCAGCATTTCTCAAGCTGAAAGAACTGAGGAAACCTACTGAAGAATTCTAAGGATATACTATTGAATGATGCAGAAAGCATCAAAAGAAGATGGAAGGAATACACAGAGTCACTGTATAAAGAGATACAGCATATGATCAAGAGCCACTGGTACTATGAAGGAAGATGTCCGCATGCATTGAAGGCATTGGCAAAGACCAAGGCTCTGGAATTGATGGAATACAAATTGAAAATTTTTAACAAACTGATGCAGTACTAGAGGCACTTACTCATCTATGCCAAGAAATTTATAAGACAGCTGTCTGGCAAACTGATTAGAAGAGATCCATATTTATGCCCCTTCCAAAGAGAAGTGACCTAGCAGAATTTAGACATAATCAGATAATGTCATTAATATTACATGTAAGTAAACTTTTGTTAAAGATAACTCAAAAACAGTTGCAGTAGTACATTGATAGGGAACTACCAGTAGTTCAAGTCAGATTCAGAGGGGTACCTGGAACAAGGGAGGGGTATCATTGATGACATCAGATGGATCTTCTTGTCTGAAAGCAGACAATACCAGAAAGATGTTTACCATTTACCTGAGCTTTATTGACTACAGAAAGGCCTATGACTGTGTGGATCAGACAAGCTAGGGACAACATAGCAAAGAATGAGTATTTGGGAACACTTACTTCTACTCATGAGATATTTATACATAGAATAAGAGGCAGTCATTTGAACAGAACAAGTGGACACTGAAAGGTTTAAAATTAGGAAAGGTGTGCACCAGGGTTGTATTCTTTCACCAGTCTTATTAAATTTGTATGCTGAGCAAATAATTTTAGAAGCTGGATTTTATGAAGAAAAACGTGGGATCAGGATTGGAGGAAGAAGATCAGTAACCTGCAGTATGCAGATGATACAGTCTTGCTTTTTGAAAGTGAAGAGGACTTAAAATACCGATGAAGATCAAAAACCACAGCCTTCAGTTTGGGTTGCACCTTAATGTAAAGAAAACAAAAATCCTCACCACTGGACCAATAAATTACATCATGATAAGTGAGGGTAAGATTGAAATTGTCAAAGACTTCATTTTGCTTAGATCTCTGATCACCACTCATGGAAGCAGGAGTCAGGAAGCCAAACAACATATTGCATTAGACAAATCTGCTGCACAAGGTCTGTTTAAAGTATTTAAGAGCAAAGATAATCAGTCTGACAACTAAAGTGCATTTGATCCAAGCCATAATATTTCCAGTAGGGTCATATGCTTGTGAAAACTGGACAGTGAATAAGGAGAGCAAAGAATTGATGAATTTGAGTTTTGGTGTTGGAAAATATTAAAGGTATCATGGACTGCTAGAAGAACAAACAGATCTGTGTTGGAAGAAGTACAGCTAGAATGCTCCTTGGAAGCTAGGATGGCCAGACTTTGTCTCTCATACTTTGAACATATTCTCAGGAGGGACCAGTCCTTGGAGGACATCATTCTTGGTTAAGTGGAGGGTCAGCGAAGAAGAGAGAAACCCCCAAGAGATGGATTGGCACAGTGACTGCAGCAATGGGCTCAAGTGTAGCAGCAGTTGTGAAAATGGTGCAGGACTGGGAGGTGTTTCATTCTGTTGTACATAGGGTCACTATGAGTTGGAACCAACTTGATGAGTTTGAACTGACTAGATGACATCTAACAATGACAACAAGGTATTGTAAGTCAGCTAGAGATGATATAAAATGTACAGGAGGTTGTGCATAGTTCATGTATAAACACTGTCATTTTATATAAGGGACATGAAGGGGACTTGAACACTGTCAATTTTGGTATGAAGGTGAGGAGAGTCTTGGAACAAACTCTTCATGGATACTGAGGCACAACTGTATTCTTACTGTGCTACAAAATTATCAGTATAGAATGACTGATCATTTTTAAACAATTTTTTAAAATTGTGTAACTCTCAAACTATTTTCCTTCATTCTCATGATTAGTCTCTTTCCTTTGCTTAGCCCAGGACAAGTGTTTTATGTCTGGTTTCACATTTTAAAGGAGCCCTGTGGTGCTGTGGGTTAGATATTGCACTGTTAACTGTAAGTTTGGAGGTTCAAACCCACTGACTGCTTGTGGGAGAAAGATTAGGCTGTTTGCTCCCATAAAGGTTTACATTCAGAATCAACTTGATGGTAGTGGGTTTGGTTTGGTTTTCTTATTTTAAGAATTATATTGGCAGCTGAATGCTTTTAAGTAACCATGTAGTTAAAAAAAAAAAAAAAAGAATTCAGTGATTGCAAAGATAAGGAAGACATACATAAGGAAGCATTTTCATTTAAAGCCTGTTATTCATAGTTACGAATAGAAAAACAAAAGGCAAGCGTCTCTTAAACTGCAGAAACTAAGGTAAAATTATCCTTGTGGGTTTTACAAGGATCAGGCAACACAGTCCAACCATTACTTCCTGCCTTGGTGGTGGTAGCTTTGTACCATCAAGTCAAGTCAAACTCATGGCAACCCTGTGTAGGGTTTCTGAGGCTGTAAATCTTTATAGGAGCTGAAAGCCTCATCTTCTCCCATCGAGTGACTTGTAGATTCTGACTGCTGACCGTGTGGTTAACAGCCCAGCTCATAATCCACTAAACTCCCAGGGTTCCTTAAATTGTTAAAAAAAAAAAAAAGAGAGAGAGAGAGATTGCTTAATCTCCTGTGATATAGTTGAAGACAACAGACTTTACATTGCACCAGTAAAAATGATTGAACTCTGGTATATCTTTTCACCTCAAAATAAATCAAATTGAAGGGGGGGGAAACAGTTAGGCATATAAAAACCGTGAATAAAAATTGGTAGATAGTTAAGAAAATATATTATTACTGTTAGGAAGAGAATGCTGGAGATGCTACTGTATATTTTAAAACATTTTAAGTGGCAGTTGTATTGTGATTATATTCGTGAAGAAACTTGGTAATATCAATCTGATTTATATAATTTTTTAAACTTAGATTTAGAGACGTGCTGTGTTAATATGGTTAGTTACCCAAGTGTGTCAGACTAGCATCGTGCTCCATAGAGTTTTCCAGGCTGTGACCTTTCAGGGGCAGATCACGAAGCCTGTCTTAACCTCTTAGGCTGACAGGCTACCATGCTCTGCCCCTCACGTTACATGATGCAATAAGCAGTTACTTATTTGCCATCTGAAAGGCCGAATCACCCTGATGCATAGACACACATGTGTCTTCAGAAAAGTACAAGATAAAGTTAAATATTTTTGTAGACTAAAATATATTTAAATTTTATTTCAGTCTCTACTCCTGAGTGTTTGGCTCTCTAAGGAAAAAGATATTTTAGATAAACCGCAGTCTGTTTGCTGTCTTCATACCATGCTGTCCCTCCTCAGCAAGATGAAAGGTAAAACCCTAGTGTATATTATAGTTCAGAGTTCTTGGAAATTTATGTCGTGGCTCTTGGAAACAAAGCTTGGTGTTAGAAATACTACAAAACCAGACGGGAACAACCATTTCTTTTAACAAAAGATACTACAATATGCAAAATATTTGACTGTAGAAATACTTGAAAATATTATTAAAATATTAAAAAGTTGTGAATGCATTCAAAATATACTTTAATTTGTGAAAATTACATGTGTCATGTCATCACAAATAAAATTGTTTGAGCGGAGCTTTTTCTTAATTTAAGCTCATTATTTTGGGTATCATTAGAACATTGCAAGGGGTCTCCAGAAAGTTCACAGAAAAGTTCAAAGAAAATTGAATTTTTCTACTAAGTTTTTGAAGCCCTCTCCTAATCTATAAAAGTAGCTTGTATTTTTCAGCAGTAATAAAGATATTTACAAACATGGATTTTAAATTGATTCAGGGTAAAGATGACTAACAGGGTAAATGGAATATAAATATTCGGAATAAAATAGATTATAAATTTATTACCTGATTCATTTGGAATTTTACATCAATGGGGAGCATAGCTTTTAAACATGGTGTTGAACATAAGCGATTAGGCAAAAACAGTTGACAAGCTGAGAGTTACAGTTTCTTATTGTCCGTTATGCTTGCAGTGGCCATGGATGAAACCTGGGATTCCCAGTCTGTGTCCCCTTGGTGGCAGCAGATGCGTACAGCTTGTATTCATTCTGAGAACAATGGAGCCGCTCTGTTATCTGCACATGTCGGTCATTCTGTGGCTGCACAGATTTCAAACAACATGACGGAGAAAAAAGTAAGCTGGCAAAGGTGCTGCCATCCACATCTTTTAGGGCCTGCTTTCCCTGGTCTCTAGTGTGGCTGATCACTTAGAGCCTGACCTGTGTGTCCTCCTGTATTGTGATTTTGTTTAGTCCTAGGACATACATATTTGAATTTAGCAGTCACCACATAGAATAAAGGAAACCGCACTGAGTTGGAGGGCAGAGATCTTGCTCTCTTCAGTAGCTGGTGATTTGCAGCAAGTCTCTTTAAAATGAGTCTCTTGGGGTCAGTTTTTTTTTGTTGACAAGAAATCGGGATTCGGCTGCATTACTTCTCATGTTTGTCTAGCTCTGAAGTTCTACAGTTGTATTTAAAGCTCCCTTTTAGGAATCTAAGGAATCTTGGTGGCACAGTGGGTAAAGCTCTCATGTGCTAACCGAAAAGATCAGTTGTTAGAATCCAATAGCTGCTGCTAGGGAGAAAGATGCTGCCATCTGCTTCCGTAAGAGCTACAGCCTTGGAAACCCAGTTCTACTCTGTGCTATAAAATCACTGAGTCAGAACAGACGTGATGGTGGTGGGGATGGTTGGGTTTCACAAACACAAGAATGTATCTTTGAATGGCTCAATTGAAAATTTTCTATTGATGTTTTGTTTTACTCTGGATTTTCCTCATATCTTGAGGACTTATATTTATTTAAAAAAAAATAATAATAACTAGCATTCTTTATATCTCATGGCCAATTAAATAATTTTTTTCTGTGGGAATGGTGCATTAAATTGGATGGGACACATCTGTGGAGATTCACTTAACATTGTCAGTCTCAGTAGTTCATAGACTAAATGTGATACTGTTGTTAAGGGCATTGAGTCCATTCCATCTCATAGTGACACTATAAGGTTCCCAAGGCTATAAATCTTTTCAGGAGCAGAAGGCTTCATTTCTCTCTGATGGAGCAGCTGGTGGGCTTGAACCTCCCAGCTTCTGGTGAGCAGTCAAGTACGTACCCCACAGAATCACAGCTCTCCTATAATGATAAAGAGTAGAGGAAATCTATGGAACATTTTTTACATTGTAAGTGGGCCAGGGCATTCTGAAGAGATGTCAGTGTCCTACTTGATAGTGATAGAAAAAAACTGTGGCTCTTGTCAAGGATGACCCAGAAAACATTTAAGTGACCCTGGTTGAATTGATGGCCTTACTGCTAGTAATGTCTGAACTCCATCATCATTGCCCCTGAGCCTGCAGTCTGCTCCTGACTCTCAAGTAGTAACATTTGTGAGAGCATCTGTGTGTCACTTTGCCTTGTGTGCTCTCTTTCAGTTTTCAAGGAGTGGGCTCATTCACATTGATGCTGATTAAGATCACCAGTGCATTTTCTGTTCGTTTTCTCAGACAGTTCTGGATGCTGACTCAGAGGGCCTTACTGATTCCTGGGAGGCTCTTTCTCTTGACACTGAATACTGGAAACTCCTGCTGAAACAACTGGAGGATTGCCTCATACTTCAGACTCTACTTCATAGCAAAGGGAACTCTCGCCCCTCCAAAGTGTCACCGCTGCAGGCTGAGCCACTCCCGAGGCTTTCTGTTAGAAAATTGTTAGAAGGAGGAAAAGGTAACCTGAAGCTTATTTGAATATTCACAGCTATATTTTTATGTTACAGTTTCTTTTAGTTTTATATAGAAATGATACAAAGAATAGGGAAAGAGAAATGTACTTCAATTAAAAATAACTAACTCATTACATGTATACTTCTTCTCAGTCTTGTCCGAATTTGTACCTGTCTGTTTGCAGCTCAGGACCCCAGCTACGTTCCTGTCATCTGTAATAAGCGGTGGTTCTCAGGCCTTCCTTTTCTTCCTGTTGGTCTGTCTGAGACTATACTGTCCTTGTACTTCAAACAACAGTGAAGAAGATTTGAGAATCCAGTTATAAGCCAAACATTAAAGGGCTTTGTAAGAGTATACAACAGTGCCACTCTTCTCACTAATTTTTTTTTTTTTTGCTTTGGAAAAATTTTTCACAAGATATATTAACATGTCTTAACATTTATTTTTATTTTAAATGAATAAAATGTTTTTTTAAATTTCTAATGCCATAAATAGTGAGCAGTACCACCTATAAACCAAAGTTCTTTGAGGGTATCAATTTTTATGACTAAAATGAGGTTACACTTTAACAACTTTTGACATTGAATCCAGTCCATTTTTCTTTTCATTTTCTTGTCACTTGCTTGCTAGATACTAGCATTAAGCCTACCACTCAGATCATCTCTGCATCTGAATGGGCTCTTCCCTTTCCCCAGCTCTCTTTTCAACTCATGCGAATCTAAACACTCTTACTCTTGATACTTCTTCCAAGAAACCTTTTGTGCATCCACTCACTGCAGGTTTTCTCTTCTTCCTCTGAGTAGTCCCAGAACTGTTGTAATGTTTTCTGAGGCAACACTTTCTGTTGTCCTGGAGTCATTTGGGTTCCTGCACTTATCTTTTGTAAAACCAAAGCATCTTCAATTTGGAGTTGTCTTTGTGTGCTCATTGCTCTTACCAACAGCTCTGTTAGACATTTGATACTTAAGTAACTGTGTAAGAGGGCTTCAGAAAATTCATGGAAAGTTTCCATTATCTTTTATTTTTTTTTTAATGTTTTATTGTGAGTTATGTGGTAGTTTATATGGGAGAACATTAGTTTTACATTCATCCTATTATATATCATTTCATTGCCATGGTTACAGTCCCCTCCATGCATCATCAACCAACCAAAGGGTATACAC